TTCCTTCTTCTCTATAATAGCAGTCACCACCGAGTACGTTGGTGCCGGCCTCGGACCCACCACCGGGCTCTGTTGCTGCTGCACCTGAACCTGCGCCGGTGCAGCCGCCGCCGAAGGCGAAGGAGAAGACGACGTCGCCGCGGCGGTCGGAGATCCCACGGCCAGCGGGCTCTCCCTGTCTATAGCAGGTGGAGCAGGCAAATCGTTTTGCTGCGCGGCTGGATCTTGATCGGGCTCCGACCCCATCGACGAATCTAAATCCATCGCGTTTCAAATCCCCTATTTTCGAGCCCTAACTTCAAGATCGGAGCTGGAATTACGCCGAATCGGGATCATTAATCAACATTTCTTCAACGAGGAGGAGACGATTATCCTCCAAGCACACCACCCCAGCCAGAAACGAAAAGAGAAACCCTAGTTTGGATCAGTGGACTGGGGAGAATCCCGAGAAAATGGAAGGAAGAGAAAGAAAAAAAAAGCCGAAGCTCGTTCGCGGTTTTTCTCTTTCTTCTTCCGGGAAAAGAGAAAAGAACAGAAATTGTTCGAAAGGGAGACGGAATACGAGAGAGAATTGAAGATTAGGTTTTAGTGTTCGACCGAAAGAAAAGGGAGGAAGGAAGAAGACGACTGGGAAACGGGACGGACTCAAATCTGCAATAATAGTATTACTTAGTATAAAAAAGAAATTACGAAAATCTTCAAAAAAATCTTTGCCTTTAACTTCCTCTCTCTCTGCCAATCATCTGGAGTTCGGGACTTCCTCTCTCTAGGGTCTTTCTCTCTCTACAAAAAATTTGTCTATTTTTTTTTTTCTCTGAAAGCCATGGAAGGAAATTGCTGATGCTGTGCTGGCGTTTTTTTTTTGTTGGGTCAACCGGAATCGAAATGAGTACAGCGGCCGATCGCCGTCGGGCTGTGAATAATAAAATGAACGTCACCGGAATCTCCGAGAAGGGGGTTTTCACTTTCTCTAGTTTTCTTTTCCTTTGGGTGAAGTTCTTCTTTGGTCACTCAATTCTGGTATGGTGTTAATTTCAGTCCCAAATTTATCCCTTTTCCGTCTGTCACAACCAACTTAACGTACTTGGACTTTTAGAAACATCGGCGATTGAGCTTTTAATTCATTAGAAGGAATTGAACGTTCATGGGATATTCCCACGATATCATAATAAAACCAATAGCTTAACCCTAGGTTGCGGACACATTGAAGAGAAGTGCGTCGAAATCAAAAGAATGACCATTATAGCTAGGTGGTCTTCAACACAATTTAGACTCTTTATATATATATATGAGATATAACTTGACAATCAAGGCTCAAAAGAATCCTAAAATGCGTTGACATAAACTCGTGATTATGGTCATCTTGTCTGCAACTCGCAATGATAGCCACCATAGTTGTTGAGCCATATTCAACGATACTTTCTTGTATCTCATTTTGCATGGCATCCTTAATTCCTCGACAACTCGTTTTTAATTCTTCCTTTGTGATTGAGCAAGTTCCTAGATAACACACAAACGCCTCACTACACCTACCAAAATAGTCTCTAATGAGGCCTCCATCAGCAGCACATCCATATGGGGAAAGAACCAATCCATTAGTCGAAATTTGGATCCATGCTTTTTCATGCTGACTGCTAGTTTTTATGCTTCTTGGGTGGTATGTTTGTAGTTTGTATGATGCTTTGATGTGCTTGGACGTTGATATTGAACCATGCTTTGGTCCCAAGGAGAAGACCCTGCTCCGAGAACTTGCAATTGTCCATGACTTCTTCATTCCCTTGTTTGACAGGTTCCAACACACAAAGCCAGAATCCACCTCGTCTTGTCGTTCATAATGTTAGGAATTAACCAGTCATGGAAGGGGATATTTGGGTCTCTTTCTGACACGTTGTATTTGTGTTTGTCCCAATTGAAGCAGCTTTGCCACATTCGCGAATGATGTATTTCATTGTTTCTTCCTCCGCATTGCAAAAGTTATAGTAACTTTGATCAGTGAACTTCCTTCTATTGTGTTCCTTGTTATTGAGGAGGCGATTGTGGCACACAAGCCGCAAGAAGTGTTTGATCATACTTGGCCCTTTCCACTTTAGCTCGATTTTCCTTTCCTCTTCGTTGACTGCAAGATTGTAAGTCGATTTGAGCTGCAATCTTATGCCCCCTTTCCAACACCCATATCGTTTTATCCTCCTCCAGTTTTGGTTTCAGAGTTTCCAAACCTACACTCGTAGCAAGTCCAATCACACTCACCTTCCTCGATAACCTAGTTTGCAACCAAAGAGGAGTTGCTTTCACTTTTTGTGAGCTTAGTGAGGTAGTAATTCTAGAAAAATGACTTCACTTTTCAGTCATGGGTGTAACCAAAAGCTCGTTGTATCCCCGTTATTGATTCCAACAAGAGGCACTTTTCGTAAGGGGCAAATATTTCACAATTGCTCTCCATAAACTCGAGTGATTTTTTTATCTTCATATAAACGATTTCCTCCTTCTTATACTCAAAATACTTCCCCTGCACCTACACCCATAGATACACCATCTTACTAAGCATATGCGTGCATGTTTAATCATGTATGTCACATTTCAGCTACGAGTTGTTTTAAGCCTAAGATCCCTCGTGGTTCTTTGGTTAACAGGTGGGTCTTTCTCTTCCCTTCTTGGGAACCCCAAACAAAGCTTATCTATTTCTTATTAATGGCATCATAAACAGAGGCTGGTAACAACGTGGCTTGCATGACATAAGTTGGAATGCCATTCAATGCAAAGAGGGTAAGAGTATCTATGTTTGCAATAGACAAAATTATAGTTTTCCATGAAGATAATTTACGACTTTTTCAAGGATATACTTGTAGGTATTTTTTATATTCTCTATTATAAAACAAGAACTTGAACACCTAAGTATCTAGCTACGTCATTAGTGGCTTGAATGCCCAACAAGTTGGAAATCTCTACTCTATCCCGTTTATTCACATTTTAGAGGAAAAAAAACATGATGTTTTCCTTGTTTATAAGTTCCCATGGTGCAACAAAAAAATTGTTCTAAATAATTCATCACACTATCAGCCTGTCTGGGACTATCTTCTACAAACAACACAAGGTCGCACACGAAGAAGAGATGAGAGAGCTCAGGCCCTCATACTGAGAGCTTCATGGGCTTCCAACTTCCATTCCTAACTTCAAGCTTGATGTAGTGATTAAGACGCTCAACACATCATGTAAACATGTAAGAGGAGAGGGGACATATTTGTCTTAGCCCTTGTGAAGTAACAAAACTGTCAATTTCTCCTCAATTCCACAATACCCGAAAACTTGTTGTAGTCACACAGAACATGATAAGCTTGGTGCATTTGGCTAGGATATGAGCAATCCTAAGGGTTTTTTCAAGGAACTGCCAGCTCAACATATCATAGGCTTTGACAATGTTCTCCTTCAAGAGCATGTGCCCCTTCCCTTTTATTGTACATAGAGTGTGTCGACTCTTTCAAAATTATGATATTGTTATTAATAATGTGATAAACCTAAGGAAAAAACTAGACTTGTTAGACTGAACTGATATAAGATTTTTAAGATCATTAGCAATGCTTCTAGCCACCACTTTGTATGTCACATTCCCTAGGCTAATTGGTCTAAAGTGATTCATAGAATATGGGTTGTCCACTTTGAGAATATGAGAAAGCATTGTTTCATTGATGGTTTTGTCCTTTCTAGTTCCCCGAGACAATACGTGATCAAGTTAACAAAGTCAATTCCAATATTTGCACCTTTTTTTATATAAAATTTTGCATGAAAGCTATCTTTTCCCGATGCTTTTAATCCATAAATGTCCATGATGATGGCCTTAATCTCGACAATGTTGAGCACTAGCCAAGCTTTAGGCCAACTAAAAACCTTCAATTGCCCCCATATTTCTTCACATGAGTGTTGAAACAACTCTCACATTGGTGAGATAAGCTCCGGGTGTCGTTTGTTTGGTGTATTTGCAAATGAGACATTTTCAAATATGTTGTTTGTTAAAAAGTTTTAGATGAGTCATTTTTATAATATTACCATTTCTACTTGTAATATGTTTCATTTTCTTGTTTGTTATCCTAACATGTTTTATTTTCTTAAATGATAATTTTATCTTAACTTTCTTCCAAGATTGTAACAGTTAGAAAGTATATTATTTTGCAACAAAAAATAACCTATATTTGAAACCGGTCTTCAAAATAGTGACAATTATTTTACTAAACATAATTGAAAAGTAAAGTGAAAAATAATTAAAAAGTATTGATTGAAAAATATTAAGCTTACGATAAGGTTGTCAATCCGTTGGCCCGTCTAGTAAGTGGGTTAAGGGTTAATGGTCTGCCCGATTTAGCCCAAATATATGAAAAAGTCATTATTTTGTTCATACATTTATTAATTATATCAAATCTCAATCTAAAAAATGAGTGAACACATATAACATTGCACTATAATAACATGACATACTTGGAATGTTCAACTTAGAATTCTAAAGATATGGTTATGTGAAAAGGAAAACCAGAAAAGATGCACATTTCGCAAATAAAAGGAAAAATGATGTCATGTTACCTCCAACCCCTCAACCTTGCAGCGGGTCGACTTTGCAGGTGTGTGTGATCCGTGTTTCTCATCGATTGGTATTTGAGTACATGGAAAAGAAGAGAGTTAAGATTTGAAAGTCTTGATGGAAAACGAGTCATTGTGATAAGTCATTTGCAAAACTTCCATCCATCACATCATCATGTCTCCATAACTTCCATCCAGAGGAAACCAAACCCATGCTGAACAACTCTTCCTCTTTCGGCACCATTTCTACATTAACCAGAAGTTCACTCTGAAAAGGAAAAACTAGCAACCAAAAAAAAAAGTCACTTTCTTCTGATCAAAAACCAATTCGTCTTTTTAAAGCTAGAACCATTCTTCGTTATAACTTTCATCGCCGTCACCCAGGTCCCAGCTGCAGGTAAAATACATTACATACAATCACAAAAACATCAATATCATGCCGTCTTCGCAGGACCTGTATTGAGAGGTTTCTGGAAGACTCTCACCACCGGCATCCCATCGACGTCGTCGGTCTTCGTCCTCCACGACCTATCCTTCTTCCTCTGAGGCTTCTTGTGCTGCTTGAATGACTCCTTGAACTTCTTCTTCTCCGTGGTTTTCCTCGACGCAATCCCATTCGCCACGTCAAAGGAGTTCAGATCATCCAGCACATGCTCCATCGCAGGCCGCGGATTCTTCTCTCCTCCTTCCTCGACATCCGACGAATCAGACTCTGTCAACTCAGACCCACTGTAATCACTATCAGCATTGAAATCCTTGACTTCGTCAGCAAAAACTCCGGGTGGCAACTCATAATGAGGCAGCTTCCCATCTATATAATCCTTCAGAATCTGACGTGCAGCCTTGGTCTCGTCGGGCAGTCCGCTCGATGCAACGTACCCTCGCGAAGCGCAGTATGCTCGTAGAAGCTCCGACGCCAATGGAGGCCGAGACTGCGGCTCGTATGACTTGGGCTTCGGCAGGGCTATCCTGTAGACGGCCTCAATGACATGGCGGGGGACACGGTTTGCAACCACCTGGACGGCCTCCCTGTGCTCGGTCATACGGTCGATTGGCAGGACTCCAGAGGAGATCATTTCGTATTTGGAGCTCGAGAAGGAAGGGAACACCAGACCGGGGCAGTCGCATAGGGTGAGCTCCTCGGACATTATCAGCGTCTGGAAATGTTTTGTTTTGCCAGGAGTTGATGTCACGCCAGTTCGCTTCTGTCCGACTAGGGCGTTGATCGTTGAACTCTTGCCGACATTGGGGTACCCGACGAATCCCACTGTCACTGATTTAGCGGGGGAATTATTTCGATTCCTCCTTGAAACTATGGCTTCTGCCTCGGACTGCAGACGAGATAGAAGCTCTTCCCTGCCATATATTCTGGTATCAGTATCGTCCGCCTGTTCTTGTCCGCTAGGTCCCATCAGCTTTTTGCCCTCGAGGAGTGCAGTAGCAGCCTTGGCTGACCAGAAGACATACAGAATATTGTTTTGGCGGAAGTACTCGGCCCATTTCTTCCTGTAGTGAGTAAAGAGAGGTCGAAGTTTGTGAGAGGTGGTAGATGGGGTAAATGCAATGGAGAGAGGACATATTTTGGAAATGGCTGACCTGACTGATAAGGGCAAAAGATCTGCCTTGTTTACTAGGAGTAGTGTCCTCTTATGCTCATCGATTTCTCTTGCATATTCCTGTAAGAACGTGAGAATCTTTTAGTTTCCTTCATACACCATATCTGACAACTTTGAAGCCTTTTCGACTTCAAAGGAGAAGCCCTACTTTTCTTCTCAGAAAGCAGAATTGCGTCAGAAAGAAAAGGAATTCATACCTCAAGATCAGGACAACGATAGAACAAAGGATCTCGTGCGTCGACAACCATCACAAGCTGCCAAGAATTTAATGCAATCAAAACTTCAGTTAAAACTTTCATATCGTCATGGAAATATTGATTCAGGAGTAGTCCAAAGGATGATAGTTCACAAGGGTTGGCAATTTCAAAGATAGTGTTCAGAAACAAACAGCAAACAGAGAGCACAGGTGACCCACCAAATGAATCCACAGAGACACTAATTTCGGATACAAATTACGGTACTACAGAAGTCTAGGACACTGGAATATGTATGAAACTCTGTTTAGCATGATAGTCCAATGTCATGGTGCTGATGCATCACTTCAGATTAGTCTGATCATTTTTACTAACTTCACGAGAAAAGCTTGTAAGATTACTAGCCACATGTGTTTTTGTTTCACTTTCAAAGCGATCAGAGTGCATCTGCTATATGATTCTACTATAATGGTTTAGTTGTGAATCTCTGTGCTACCCAGCTGGTTAAAAACCAATTAATCCAGTTAAAGACGAATATATCAGATAAGAGAGCAAGCACGGGAAGAATCCTGAAATTTGCTATTCATTTCAGCTTCAAAACTGGATATGAACCAAAAGAGATAGCTTACAAGATCACTGCGCTCAAGCACCCGCCAAAGTTGTCTCCAGATATCCAAATTCTTTTCAAATGGTGTGAGAACCAGGTTCTCATTCTCCTCTAAGCTGAAATCATCAAGTGCAAACTGTAAGAACTTATTGCAATCATCATAAAAAAATCTTATAAACGTCCAAAATTATGCAACGATATATATAAAATAAAACATCCACACTACTAATCCTTATGCATTATGTTTGCATCCACTTGCTTTTTTCATCATTGATAATATACCCTAGTATTGGATATCATAGACGAGACAGCCTGAGTTTAGCAATCCTAAAAAATAACACCACAGTCCATACAACTCACGACAAACCAAAACGTTTCCCATAAACTTCTGCAGTCTGGTTTCTTTTATCATGAATCAGTAACATCCATGTCAAACCTACTCATAGATGGTTATAGGCAGGGTCGATAAGTCGTCATTTGTGTACTCTCTAAACTCGAAACTCAATCCCAGGTGCCCCAAATCTTAGACATAGTATTCCATGCCTCAATACACTGGATACCTAATCAAAGCAACTTACAGTGATGTTCAAGCTATACATACATCATATTAAGCAACAGGGTTTAGCTTGAACTTCAATTACATATAAACAGAAAACAGGGGCAGGCACTTGGCTACAAAGTCCAAATAGGCTACAGCCTCAAGGCTAACAGAAAAATCCAACTACCAGCTCTGGACATCCACAACCTTAATTCCGCCTTCTTGTTCGAGTTTGCATGTGCTCGTTAGCTAACTGCTACATTTACTTCACCACAATTGACACATTCCAAAATGAAAGGTCCAATGGAGGATTGAACAAACCTTGCAAGGCTTCGCCGCCAGATTAAGAAAGCTTGTCTTTCGTTGGAATCAAGTAGCTCCACCGACATCTCAGGATTCCACGGCGGCCTATTGAATTCAACAACACACCATGATGAAATACAAGCAAACCAGAAATCAAATCATAACAAACACAAAAGAGAAACAAAGGAGGCTCGGCGGCATACCTGCGAGGGACTCGCAGGCTATTAGCATGCAAAGACTCCGCTTCCTTCTGCTGCGCCTTCCTCTCCTCCGGCGTCATAACACTCGAAATCGAGGCCCCATCCCTGTTCCAAAACACCACCACCAGAAAACCCAGATTACTCCTCGCGCGAAATTAGCAAAAGATGAAAAGTGCTGCGGGAAGCTGAGATTCGGTTCGAGAGACGAACTCACAGACTGATAGGGAGGTTGGGGGCGGGGCGGTCACCGGCGAGAAGGAGACGCTCTTCATCTTCGGCCTGCTCGATGACGGCGTCGACGTCGTTCACGTCGGTGATGGATTCGAGAACCCTGTTCTGCTGCCTGTAGAACTGGCCTTTCTCCTTGGATTGAATGATCATCTGGTTGTGGTGCTTCACCAGCGCTCTCCCTAACCCCGTCTTGCCATCGCTCTTCCCCATTTTCTCCGGCAGGGATTTGCGGAGCCGAGGGCGTATCTATTCGTCTTTTCTGCGTAAATAGGCGGCGTTTCGTCGACAAGTTTGAAACGGCGGTTGAACTGGAGAAGGGTTTAGAGTTTACACTACTCGGGAAATTATTCTTCGGCCGCCAGCCGCCAGGGAGAAAGGTGAATTTAGAATCAGGTCCCTAGAGTTTTCTGCTTTTACATAGCAGATGCTTAGATTATAAGAGAAGGAACAATTTGAAAACGGAGGCCCAATTACATTTGGGTTCGATCCAATTAGAACCCAACATATATGAGTTTTGTAGACGGAGGCCCAAAACTCTCATTAACTTGTAGATGCTTTGTAGGCACTATTTTTGGAAACGATATGTGAATCTTTACGGGGCAATGTGAAGAGTTTGCTTAAATCAATCCAATCTCATTTTTTAAATAACCAAATCTATGCCCATGTAGTGAAAGATTTTACAAATTCATTATCATACCCATGATTTTCGGATATCCATAAGTAATAGTAATCCGATCAGCTATTCACCATTAATAAAAGAATACGGTGACAAATATGGATACTACGCCCAAAATGACTGGTAAAAAATGACTTAATTTTTTATTTTGTTCTAAAAATATATCAAAGTAAATATCATTTTAAAGAGCACAATTAATCTGATTTATCTGTGCAAAAAATTTTAAATTTCAACTTAAAACGAGAGAAATCGTCCGCTAAATATTAAATGGGAAAAGGTAAAAAAAACTTTCCATGAAAGAGAGGGATACTAATGTCACTCTGATTTGAACAAGTTACTCTCACCCTAAGGTTTCAGACATGTTCCCCCACTCACTCCACCCTAGGCCCTGATCACTTCCATTTTCGTTTCCTGTTTTCATGTCATAAATTTGGCAACTGAAATGACAAAACCTGTTTACTTTTCATTCTGTTTTCTATTCGTTCCCAACTCTAAAAACAGAAAGCGACAGCTTCCTGCTATTTTCGGAAACAACAAAATATTATTTTCACCTGTTTTCACCATCTGTTTTTTCGAAAAACAGAAAACAGAAACAGTGAACTGCTCCCCACTCAGTGAAACCAAAATAGCAATTCATCGAGGTCCAGGACAGGGGATCATCTAAAAATACATATAAGCATTTTCCCAAACTGCAGTTTAGAAATTTAAATTCTCTTCTCATTCATGCTTCCACGTCATTACTTTATCTCTCCTCTAATTCTGTTCCATTTTTCTTTTACCTTTTAAGTTTTAACCCTTTGGTTTTGGACTTTTGCGGTTTGGGCTTCCGCTGTTTTTTTTTTTTTGTTTACAGCCTTTTTATTGTGAAATGCTCTTTTCACCGTCTTTCTTTCATTTGGGGTTTGTCATAAATCTGCATAATCAACAGAGTTTATACTGTACATTTATATGTTTTGGAATACAAAATTTCTATAACCAATCAAATTTTAAAATTCAAAATTAATTTACAATGATTATAAATTTATTGTTCAAATAACGCAATGTTCTACATTCATCAAAATTTTATGGTGTTATTGCATACAATAATTGAATTAAAGTGTTTATACTTAAAAGTTCGTCAAACATCAATAATCATTGATCAATTTATGTTGCTAAGATAACTTACAATACAAGTTGGGATTAGTAAATCTTACCATCATAAGTAGGTCTATAAAAAAATTTGACACCTAATCGTGTGTAAGAATGTTGAAGAATCCAACCATCATTAAATGAATGTTCCGACTATTAATATGGTCCGATAATATATTTAGCTAAGAGTCAAATTGATCGACTAAGAATTGAATGTATTATTTACTTAATGTATTACAAATTATTGATTTAGCTGTAGATGTTTAGCTAAAAAATTAGCTTACAATGAATTATGTTTTCTTGAAGGGGTGGTTTGGAATGATCAATTGAAAAACGAGACAAGTTGTTCAATTGTCTCATTTTACAAAATGAATCATTTAAAATGAGTCAACTCGAATTGTCTGGTCTCATCCCAGACAATTTTAATTGTCTCAAAACGAGTTAATTTGAAATTACTCAAGCATCATTTAAATTTTGTGATGCCAAACAAATCAATTTGACCAAACGAAACAATTGATTCAAATTGATCCGTTAGAATTCCTCATCCAAACTATCCCGAATTTATATTGAGATAACACACGAAAGATCATAATTATTTGTGAAAACATTTAATAATACTTAAATATAAAATTAGACTCAAATTATAAATGAAAAGAAAATTCACCCGGCCGACGGGCCGGGAACATAGCTAGTAATTAAATTAGATCATTAACTCTAAAACAAGGAAGAAACGGAACGCGCTGCTTTAATTTAATTAAATTAAACACCTGAAATAATCACATTCCAAGAGGCAAGAAGGTACAAAGGGCTTCCATACATAGAAACTAATTAACTAACAACAAACGAATCGATGAGAAAGGAATACAAGGGAAACATTATATCAACAAACCCAAAAACATATCTCAAACCTGCCGAAGAATTTCGTCAAATTTTTCTTTTTTATTCTCCTTCTCACCTGAAACTCACCTGAGTGGGAATAGTAGTATGAAGGAAGGAAAAGGAATGATCGACTCTGACCGACGGCATCTTCTCCAAAGATACCCTAATATATAAATACATATACATACAATCTATATTATGTACAGATAACAGAACTGATACTTCGAGACGCTCTTCTGTAGCTTTCTAAACTTCAACAGCTGATGGTGCAACTGCAACGGCTGCATTGGCGTTATTCGACGAGTCTGCTTTCCCGCTCATCTTCTTCACGGGCTTCTTAGACGTTGCAGGCGACGAGCCTTTCGCCAGTCTGCCTTGCCTGGCTGCATCGGTCCCTGAATCTCCGCCTGTAATACAAAATGGAGAAGCCAGAATGAGGAACTGATCACTTGCAGGAGAGAGGGAGGGAGGTGACCTTTATTGGGAAGAGATAGCCTCTTCTTCACGGGTTTGCCAGGTTGAGCGGTTCTCTCTTTCGGGTTGCTGTGAGATCTCGGGGCAGTCCCCGGTGGTCGAGAGCTGGCTTCTTCAGTTATCAGTCCAGCAACTTGCTTAGGCTTTGGCTTCGTGAAATGCGTGTTTGATGGCGCCTCCTGTATGCCTGCTGGTTTGCTTGTAGGTGAGGAGCTGCTGGCATTGGAATGAGAAGGACCTGTTTTCTGACTAGGGACGTTTGCCTGGGCAGCTGGTTTCTTGCCCGTAGACTTTGCCTGAGGTTTGGAGCCATTTTTGTCGTCCGGTTCATTCTCGTGGATCGTCACTCCTTCCTTGATGTCGAGAAACCGGTTCTCCCATGGACGGACGGCCATCCATCTCTCCAACCAGTTCCAACCCCAACTGCTCTTGTCCGGAACAAACCCCGAGGGAATAACCTGCTGCCTAGGCCCTGCCTGCCACTGTGAAAAACAGAGAGATTTAGCTCAAGGGATCAGCCAATTGTAGGTACCCAGTGACATGGTTTAAACATACATTCTAAATGTTTGAATCGATAACTACAACCCGGAATGATTTTATTAGAACTAAGTCTCAAGAGCGGCTTGTGTTCAGCAAAGCTTCAACTTGGTAATACCATCTATATAAGACATAAGTCTGCAGGTTGTTGCTGAATTAGCCAAAAAGCTGGAACTTAACACTGATTTGAAAAAACAACCCTTTTATTCTCACCTCTTTCATTTAATGTTAACTTGAGAGTGCTTGGGTGTACGTAAGTGTGCTTAGACTATGATATTCTGAAAGGGTTCAGGCTACTCAAGCAATCCAAGAATTGTCTGCCGAGCCTTGCTCTAAGTATTTATTATCAACCATGAGTATCATTTCTCTAGCATAAATGCATGATGCATCCACAGAGTAATATAAACCTTCCTAGAGTAATATTTATTCCGTCATCTTTTTGAGCATTTCTAGAAGAAAAGGCAACTGATCCTGTTTTCTTAACCAGCCAGACTGGAAAAGCATCTTGACAATGATATGCTTTGAAATGAAATGAGACAAGTCAGACAACTTACAAATGAAAAATAAACTGCAAACCACTCTTCTTCTAGAAAGATCATCCTACTAGGAACAATACTTAACAGATGACTAATCATGTTCCGATTTATCCCTCTATCACGATTCAATTCAAACCAAATCATAAAATAATAGAAACTTATGCATTCAAATGATCTATAAGTTCTTCTCGACATATCTATTGCCAATGGACTCTGATGTCCAGAACACTGGTTCTACTTGCATTCATAAATCAAAATCAACATAATACTAACACTCTACCTGATGAGAAATTGCATATGCGATAGCTCTTTCACGCTTAGCTGCAGCCTCTTGTCTCTTCAGTAACTTTGCTTGAATTTGTTCAACAGAACCTATACTGTCACACCACCCCTCCTGTGTAAAACCGAATCATATGAAGCACTTTCAAGAAAGAGAAATCTGGAGTCATTGCCTTGCCATGATACATATATAAAAAGTCACAGCACTTCATAAACGACTAATATATTTCAACTGATTTGAACAGCCAAAAACAGCTAAAATATCGTATGAGATTGTCATCCACATTCAATGCTAGAGACCAAACCTTCCAAGAACAAAGGATAATTGCCATGACAGGGAGAGAGACATATGCAATAAAGAGAAGTAGGATATGATCTGTCTCCATCTATGGTCCGTGTTTTTCTCCTAACTTATTTAAATCATAGCTTAATGGCACAAGAAACAGCTTCCAAGTTCTCATTTTCAAGTCATCTTAACCACATCTGAAGAGAAAGGAGGGAGGAAATACAAGCAAAGACAGCAGAAAAACTATAACCAGGACAGCAAATTGCAGCTGTGCATCAAATAGTTGTTCTGTCAAAGCATACTGCAGATAGACAGAGTCGTTAATTTAATTATCAGCATAGCTTACTTCTATTTCGCGAACTCGTGCCTCATCGACAATTTGTTGCTGAAGTTTTTGCTGCTCTGTTTGATTCTCCAATGCCAAACGAACACGTCGTGCCCTTACGCGAGCCTGAACCCTTACCAAAGCTTGCATACAGCGAAGAGTTATGGCAGCTTGCTTTCTTACAGCATGGCCTCTCACAAGTGCTTGAAGCCTCACAAGCCCTTTCAAAGCACGCAGCGCTCTTCTAGCCTGACATGTATGTCAGATCAATATTAACTGTTTATACAAGCTCATTCATCTAATGTATAGTGAAACAGACATAAACCTGAATAGAACCCAGTTTAATGAGACCAAGCAACAAATTCATTCATACTGCTATATGTGGCATGTCAGCAAATTACAATTGCCACAACCAATTCAACAACCATGTTTTATCCTTAGCGGCTGAGATTCCAACAACCCTGACAGATGGAAAGAATATGTAGCCTTACAACAAACACAAGCCTCCATGCTCATCCTTTCATAAAGACCCATTGAGAACAGTAGGTTCACAGTTGACTAACCAGTCTGAACTTAAACTACCAGACAAATTGTTGCACATGACAATTTCATAGCTGTCTAACTAAGCAATGCGAGGATATAAAGCTGGCAGAAACAGCAGATTCTTAATATATTTGTCTTATAAAGTGGCAAGTAAATACCAGAAACCCCCGAAATGCTGTTTGAATGCGGGTGGCAGCCCATTCTTCATGTAATCTCTGTTGATTATGATTGACATCATGTAGCTGACTTGAGGTAGCGGGAGATCCTAAAGCCTCTGGTACAGAGTCACCAGTTACTGCTGCAACATTGTGATTTAGCTCCTGCTGAAGTATATTGTCACCAATCTCCACCGAGTTCTTTCTACGATGGCGAGACTTGCTGGCAGATGTTCTCTGAAAGACCAAAAACCAATAGATGTGTTTACAAGCTTGACCTGATACTGTTTGAAAATAAGGCTACCTTCAGTTTATGAATTCTAAATGTGGGAACCCCATAGCCTAATCGTCAAAATATACCCAAAATTTCCATGGTAAAAGCAAAACAGTTTGAATATTAAGTATGGAAAGGATAAGGAGAAGCAACTTAATCCTTGTGAAATTGTTTGAATATTTCTATGTTGGGCAAAACTAGTGCTGAAGTGAAAAGAAGTGGAAAAAATCCCCAAAAAACAGAAAAAAATCTAAGCTACAAATCATAAAACCCACAGGCAAGAGAAGAAGAGCACTAGCTGTCATTTGCCAGAATCCACTTAATAATACTTCTAAAAACATCTATTCTATAGTTCCGGATTATTCACTTCTCTGAAACTTGCATTTGTTTTCTGTGTAAATAACTATAAAGACAAATGTATAAAAAAAAAAAAAAATCATAACTTGACAAAAAAACAAGTCTAAGTTGAAGTAAAACTGACATTTTCAACTTTCTCTGAGGACTGAGGCTTATCTGGCTTCTTCATTCCAACCAATGCTTTAAGCCATTTTCCCGAGACCCCCATTGTGCCAATGGGATACACAGCACTAACCTGCCACAGAATAGCAATTAATATATCACACCGCAAGCTGTAAATCAAAGCAGATTGATTTCATAATAGGACCTACTTATATATGCTGAAATGCGTGCAGAGAGGGGTACGAATAAGAATTCATAAGAGAAATGGCAGGCGCATATCTAAGTCAACACCCTTAGCATACAAATAGAATCATACAGCTGACCTACTAAAGACAGCAAAAGAAGAAGGAGAATGAAACAGTGCAATTCCGGGTCTGATCTAAGAAATAGTTGCAGAACTCTCATCAACATTTGGCAACCAAGTTCGCATAGTAATAAAAGGGAATCAAGTATGAATTCCCCGATCGGTAATCAACAAAGTCCTGCTGTCATCGCAAGAACTTACTAAGAATCCAGAGTTTCCACAAACTCGAACTTCATAGAAGAAACGAATTAGAAAAAGGACTGAAGCAAGGTTCGATTGGGTAGCTTACCAGTTAAAAAAACAACTTGGGCAAGCAACCTTTGGCCGAGTGCGACTGTACTGACTCGGACGGGCTGGAAGCAGGAAAATAACAATGGCCACAGCGATAGAGTCGATTGTCCTAGGAATCAGAAGCAGAAATGGCGAAATAGACACGCAATGATAAGCATTTAATACTGCAGGAGGAGGAAAAGGTTAAAAAGCCAACGCAAAACCCTAAAGGGACCATGATTACGATACCATAACTAAGTTCCCATGGAGGTAGATACCAGCGAGAAAAGTCCAAATTCAGCGATTAAAAAAAATGAACCGAAAGAAACACTAACCACTAACTACTAACGAGTAGTCAAACAGGCAATTCAAAAATGTTACCAGGTGGAAACGTGGAAAAACGAAGCAATTGAACAGCCAATGCCAGCAATTTCAGAGCCGATTCACAGATCCACCTTCAAGTCGCACCTGAAACGAACACCGCCGCCGCGCCGAGCGAGCAAAATGCCACAACAAAGAAGAAGAAGAAGAAGAAGAAGAAGAATCGACTGCCTCCGGCGGAACGTTGATCGGCGAAACGAGTCCAAAACTTCACTCACTCAACTCGAACTGAAACTCCGGCTACCGAACAGTGGGAAATATCAAGTTGCGACCAATCGGAATTTTGAAGTTGAAGAAGAAGGAGCAGCCAACTCTCTCTCTCTCTCTCTTATCTCTACTTCGCCAGCTCTTCCTCCATCTTACTTTCTCTCCCCTGGAATTTGTTTTCTGTTGTTTTATGTGTAAAAGAGCCGGCAGTAATCGCGGCGAGAGTTGAGAAAGCGAGGATACAAAAGGGAGACTGGAAGTGGAGGGTCCGGTGTCGGCTAAAGTACACCGTGGGAGGAAAGGAGAGGAGGTGAGGTGAGGTGAGAAACGGCGTCGTTTGTGTATTACTTGGGCCCGTTCAGTCACGGCGCGTGGGAGAGAGAGTCACGGTACGGAGGTGGACTGGTGTGTTTTTATGACGACGTGAAGAGACATTTTCGGCGTCGTATCATTAACTCTGTCCCTCATGTCATGTGTAACGGAATTGGAGGGGACAGTGGCACGTCGCTGTTTTGTGCGTACGTTAGCGGGTGTGGCGTCGATTAAAGACAAAACAAAGTTGGAGGGGAAAATTTAGACCTTTGCCTTTACCTTTTTTTTTTTTTACTTTCTTTCGAGTTTCTCTAGTTCAATTTAAGCTCTCGACTTTTGAGAGTATGGTGATTAATTAAAACTTTAAAAGTAATCCAAACAAAGGGAAACGTTAAAAGAGGTGGATGATTATTCAGAGCCAAATATGGAAAAGGGTACTTGTGAGTTAGGTGTAGGGGTGGGCATGCGGTTCGGTTTTATCGAACCGAACCGAACAAAAATCGACCGAAACCAAAATAAACCTTATTAGGTTCGAAATTCGGAGGGGAATATGTAACATTTCGGGAGCCAGGTTCGTTTGAACCGAACCGAAAAACCAAACTGCCGACCGAATTTCCAAAATTTAAATTAGCTACCCAGCCCAAAACCCAAGTGCCCAAGCCCAACCCTCTCTGCTCCTAGCCCAATCCTCACTGACCCAATGCCCAGCCCACCCACACCCAACAAAACAACTCCCTTGGCCCAAATCCCAACAACCCAACTCCATTCTATTGTTGATTCTCCATCTTGAGTCCTCAACCCTAGCAATTTCTAGGGAATCAAACGGAAGGGAAAGGAAACTTTGACAAAAAAAAACGAAAGGGAAAGAAAGAAGGCAAGAATTTCCGACGCACTTGCAGCGCCGAGTGCGACTCCTCCTCCACTGCCCGAGCACGACGACGTCGACGGCCCGACCTGAGAGAGGCTGCTTCGTCTTCCTCTCGAGTCGACTCGATCCTCACGCCAGGCACCGGTCTCCAGCTCTCCGCCTCTCGCAATCCCACCCAGTGGGTAGTGACCCAGACCCAGCCACCCAGGCAAGCACTTGTCGCCCGCCGAGTCTCCTCCCGACGTCGACGCCGAGGCAGCACAGCAGGCAAAAACGGGGTGGCACACAGCAGCTGTGTTTTTTCGGTTCTAGGCATTCGAGTTGAACCGAGTTATAATTCGGTTCGGTCAAACCGAACCAAATTTTAGCTCGGTTCGAATTTGGTTGGGGCGTTGGGCATATCGGAAAATCGGGATGTCCTGGTTCGGTTCGGTTCAAACCTTTTCATTTTCCGTGAAAAATAACATCACATTTTCAATGCAGAACAATCATCCAGACAAGGTAGAAGCCCTAGTTGGCTAGTCACATTCACGGTAGAATCATCCACATATTGCTGACCACACTAACCACTTAATCAAGTATCTCAGTTCCCATCCAATCTTGTCACCAAACATACTCACAATCAAAATGGAGATCATACATCAACCTTAACATACAATGACTATCCCCGATTATGCTAACCTTTTATGGTGACAATCTCAATGCTTGGAGCTCGGTTCCACTGATACCTCCTTACGTCTTGAGCTCCCTCTACTATATACTATTCAATGAACAATACAACCCAAAAATCATAGAGATCCTAATTGTTAATAACTTTATATTGAACCCTTGTTGACGTAACTGACTATTAACTCCATAGAGAAATCTCCAAATAGATCAATCTGTGGTTTTGGATTCTAAAATTATATTACGCGACAATGTCCTATTTCTCATGTATTTGGTTTCAAGCTTTAGACGTAATTGATTAACTTAAAAAATTTATCATAATTTGCACAAATACAATGGAGAAAATATGTAAAAGGAAGTGTTCACGAATTTGATCATTAACATATGAATTTGATCTACCTTGAATCAAGTAAAATATTCCAACTTGCAACGCCAAAAAAAAAAAACCCTTCTGAATGACTTGATTTTTTAGTATGCTATTGACAAGACACTATAAGAAGGTTTAATGATGGTAAGACCAAGTCCTTGTTTTAGATGCAATTCAAGGCGTCACAAAATAAGGTTCCTATCTCTTGCAACAAAGTTTTAAACGACACAAAAATTACTTATAGAGATTAAAAATAGTGTTATCAAGATCTAAATCAAAGAAAGATTCTCAAATTATGATTTTAAAGGATTCGAAACTAGGGATTACAAAACTAAACCCACAATTATGGTTTCCCCCTTTTTCTCCCTTCCTTATTTCTGTTAGCTAGCCAATCCCAAAAGGCTCTTTATTTTTCCTTAGATTTACAAACTCATAAATGGATGAAGATAAGGATTCTAAGTGGTTGGAGCTCGTTTATAGAGGTAAGCACTCATTTACACACCTGAGTCTTAAGCACGAGGTGTAAAGGACACTCATCTCCCCATAGATTTCAAGATTACATGATATAGGGCACTCATCTCCCCATAGATTTCAAGATTATGGGGAGATGAGTGCCCTTTACACCAAAGTATTTGAGATTCCATGTCAAATTATGCGGGTTCTACCATCAACTCATGCAAACCAAACAATGTATTTTAATATTTTGTACTCTAGCCAAAGATTCATATTTATTCTATCTTTTTTTTTTTTTGCGTTACAAGGAGGCCGCAGCCAAGCAGAAGAAAGGTGTTACATGGGGGTGGATGAAGGGGAAGAGGTAGAAGAGGTAGCAACAATGCGACGCTCAAAAGTAATGCCCATGCTGTCTTCCAAGAGAATGTTTCCTAAGCCTTGAGGTGGGTTCGCAAGCTCATGCATACCGTAGGGATAGACGAGACTGTGCTTCGAGAGCCAGTCCGCGACTCTATTCCCTTCCCGGTATGTATGAGTGATGCTCACCAACCAGTTTTGGCTTAGTTTCCTGCGAATGGCAGAGATGAGAGTAGAGTACGGGTGCACCTGATCATGTCGATTCTGAATGAGCTCAATAGCTAGTTTGGAGTCAGATTCTATTCTTAAAACTCGGCAACCTCTAGTCCAAGCTATCTCCAGACCATGAAAGAAAGCCCAAAGCTCGGCTAACGCTGCTGTGGCCGATCCAATGTTTCCAACAAAGCCAGTGATCCACTTCCCTGAACTATCTCGAATGCATCCTCCAGTTCCTGCTGGTCCTGGGTTACCACAAGAAGCTCCATCAATGTTGAGAGAGAACCAACCTGCAGGCGGAGCATTCCAGCCAATGCTAGCCAAGACCCGCGTAGCCGGTTGGACTCTGTTGTTGGGGAGAAGAGTTGGAGCTTCCCATGCCTGATGCCATAGCTTGGCTTTGGCCACAATAGAATGAGCGAGAGTCGGAGGAGACAGAGCCGCTGAAGCACCCTTGAAAACGAAGGTGCATCTATTCTTCCACAAGCACCACACTGCAACACTGAAAAAAGTAGCCCACGACATCCCTAGGCTGCCAATATCGGTGTGGGCGAGGTTAGCTCGAAGCCAACTATGTTGGTCAGCACTGAAGAAGGTGTGCTGCTTCGGGCCCGGCACATGCCTTGTCCAAAAGAAGAGAGCTGGGGGGCAGTCCCTAAGAATATGGAGAATGCTTTCGGGCTGCCCTTGGCATCGCACACAATCCGAGTTAGGCGCCAATTTCCTGGAAAAACGAAGTAGATTAGTTACTATTTTCCCAAGGAGAGTCACCCACATGAAGTTCCTGACACGCTCAGGGACAGGTAGCTGCCAAATTGTCTTCCAATGCTTCTCATCTGGATCTGCAGTATGTTGATTAAGAAGGCTATAGGCCGACTTTGCTGAAAACTTTCCATCCGAGGAAGCACTCCAAAACATCGTGTCACCCTCCGTCGACAGGTTGTCCACCGCCGTGCTGAGAATTTTCTGCAGAACATCCTGGGGAAGAAGGTCTGAGAAGAGTTCGGTCCGCCATGTTCCTTCTTGCGTCACGAAATCCGCAACCACAGCACCTTCTATGTCACTTGGGATCGTGCTCACAGCTACGTCTATCAAGGGTACCTGCAAAATCCACACATCCAGCCAAAACTTAGTGTGTTTACCTTTCTTTATATTCCAAGCACAACCTTTTCGAAGAAGATTAGCAGCTCTAGAAAAGCTGTTCCAAGTGAAGGAACTTCCCTGAATAGGTCGGATGATGTTTAAATCTTCTTGGCCTCGGCCGTATTTCTCCCTCATCACCTTGGTCCACAGGCTGTCCTTCTCCTTAAGAATTCTCCATCCACCTTTTGCCAGCATAGCTAGATTTGCTTGCCTAAGAGATCTGAGGCCGGCTCCTCCTTGCTTCTTAGGGAGAACCATTTTATCCCATGCTACAAGGTGCATTTTGTATTTTTCCTCCTCCTCTCCCCAGATAAAGTCCCTGTTTATCTTGTCTATATTTTTGCACACACCACTGGGAATAAGTTCAGTGCTCATAGTATAGGTGGGAAGTGATGAGGTTACCGAACGAGCAATTGTGAGCCTGGCTGCCAGGGATAGACGACGGGCCTTCCGGGGGGCCAACTTCTTCTGAATTCTCAAGATTAATCCCTGATACCGCCCTTTAGTGACTCGACCATGGATGGTATCAATTCCCAAGTATTTTCCAAGCTCCTGCTTAAGAGGGATTCCTGCTTTCCTACTCAGAAGAGACGCCTTGGCTCGGTCCACATTGGAGGAGATATACATAATCGACTTGTTGTAATTGACTCGCTGCCCCGAACTATAACAGAAGTCATCGAGGCACTCCTTGACCACCTTAATCTGGCGCGATTCTGCTTCAGCAAAAAGAAGCAGATCATCTGCGAAAAAGAGATGAGTTAGAGGCAGGCCTTCCTTAGTAAGATGAATGGGTTTCCATTTCTTACTAAGACAGGCTTCATCAATCTTATGAGACAGGCGCTCCATACATAAAACAAAAAGATAGGGTGACAAGGGATCTCCCTGACGAACGCCGCGGGTGGGAGTGATTGATTGAGAAAGCTTCCCATTCCACAGGATTCTCATTCTGTTTTGCTCCACGCAGTACATAATACAACTTATCCAGGAGCTTGGGAGGCCAATTTATTCTATCTTTTGATATTTACTAGAGCAAAGGCAAATTGATCATGGTGTCTTAACTCTGAACCAACTAGGCAGGAAAACATGTTGACAATGATATTTCTTGAAATGAAATGAGACAATTTGGGTAAGTTCAGCGTTTTGTGGGTCTGAATTAAAGAAGCAATGTTCATGGGCTTTGGTGTAGAATTGGGCCAGTTATATGGACAAGCGAGTGGGCCTCTGCCACAGACGTCACCCAGGTGATGCCAAAAATGTTTTTTTTTTTCTCTCTCTCTTTCATTTTCCCTTCTCCTTCGCGGAAAATGAAAAGGAAATTCCCCTGAGCCTACCCACAAACGAAGCAATTCCCATGGAACAATCTAGAACCACTATTACATCATCACCAGCTGAATCCTACGGTCCAGATGAAGCCACATAGGATCGAGAACGGCATCAGCAGTTGATTCTAGGGCCTTCTTCAAAACGAAGACCCAAAAGGAAAACCAAACCCACGAAGGATCTCCTCCGTCCATCAGGATTATCGAGCTCTGTTAATCTCATCCCTTTATATAACTACTTTCTCTTCCCACATCTGTCTCTCAGCATCGCAGGTCAGAGAAAAAAAGCTTTGAGAACCCAGAGTCCAGAGACCGTTCGCCGGTGGATTAAGCTTCCCGATCTCGACGGTTTCGAGGTCTTACGATTTGTGGATCGGTAAACGAGGTAGAGAGAGGGAAAAAAGGGAAGATGTTTGGGAGAGCGCCGAAGAAGAGCGATAACACGAGGTACTATGAGATTCTGGGAGTGCCGAAGACGGCCTCACCGGAGGATTTGAAGAAGGCTTATCGGAAAGCAGCGATCAAGAATCATCCTGATAAGGGCGGCGATCCCGAAAAGGTAAATTTTTTTCTTCTTCTTTCTATTCACTCCTTTCTTGCTGAATTAGGTCGAATTTGAGATCTTTTTTTTCGGATGAGGGGCGAGATAGACTTTAGGGTTGATGAAATATTTGTCTGATGGTGGATTTGTTGATTGGGATCTGCAGTTCAAGGAGCTCGCCCAGGCGTACGAGGTGTTGAGCGATCCCGAGAAGCGGGAGATTTATGATCAGTACGGCGAGGATGCGCTCAAGGAAGGGATGGGCGGTGGCGGCGGCGGCGGCCATAACCCGTTTGACATCTTTGAGTCTTTCTTTGGCGGTGGTGGTTTTGGAGGTAAGACGGTTCGTAACAAGTTTTGGGGTGATGAATCTAGGATGAATTGAAAAGGTGGGCTTTGATGGTAATGATCGTTTCTGTGTGTTTGTATTTGCTAGGTGGCAGCAGTAGGGGAAGGAGGCAGAGAAGGGGAGAGGATGTTGTTCATCCATTGAAAGTTTCCTTGGAGGATCTCTACATCGGCAGATCGAAGAAGCTTTCATTGTCCAGGAATGTAATATGCTCCAAGTGTGACGGGTGAGATTAAGGTTCCTGCTTGTGTGTTACGACAGTTTTTACTTGCCTTGAATGTCAGGTTTTAAGGGTATGCCTTATGTATAATGCAGTAAGGGGTCAAAGTCTGGAGCCTCGATGAAATGCTCCGGTTGCCAAGGCAGCGGCATGAAGGTGTCAATTAGGCAACTTGGTCCGGGAATGATTCAGCAGATGCAGCATCCTTGCAATGAATGTAAAGGAACCGGTGAGTCTATCAGCGACAAGGATCGCTGCCCTCAGTGCAAGGGTGAGAAGGTTGTCCCGGAGAAGAAGGTGTTGGAAGTGATAGTGGAGAAGGGGATGCAGAATAATCAGAAGATCACCTTCCCTGGGGAAGCAGATGAAGCTGTATGTTGTGGACTTGCTGTTCCTTAGTCTATGCATTCGATACCGTCTATGTTCAGCTTTAGTAGATGACTGAGCTTATTGCTTTCTGATTGCAGCCTGATACGGTCACTGGCGATATAGTCTTTGTGCTTCAGCAAAAGGAACACCCTCGGTTCAAGCGGAAGGGGGATGACTTGTTTGTGGAGCACACACTGTCCCTCACTGAAGCCCTATGTGGATTCCAGTTTGTTATCACACATTTGGATGGCAGGCAGCTCCTGATCAAATCACTTCCTGGCGAAGTTGTCAAGCCTGGTGAGTCATGAATACATGAAAGATTATAGTTGTATTTCAATAACGCTCGTGTTTGGATTCTTTTGACATCAACTTTCTGTATGTTTTTCAGATTCTTTCAAGGCGGTCAACGATGAGGGAATGCCATTGTACAGGAAGCCATTCTTGAAGGGGAAGCTCTACATCCACTTCACCGTTGATTTCCCTGATTCATTGACCCCAGATCAAGTGAAGTCACTTGAGACAGTTCTGCCAGCAAAGCAACCGAGTGGCTTGACCGAGATGGAGCTCGATGAGTGTGAAGAAACTACTTTGCATGATGTCAACATCGAAGAGGAGATGAGGAGGAAGCAGCAGCAGGCTCAGCGTGAGGCATATGATGAAGATGATGATGAGATGCCAGGTGGGGCTCAGAGGGTGCAATGCGCCCAGCAGTAGAAAACCTTGAAGCTTTCGCGGGCGATTTGAATTGAATTACAGTCTTCAGTGTGTCTTACCTTACGGTTTAGGCTTTTTATATAGCGTCTGTAACGGAAGTTTTGGGAACTTGAAATGCTGTTCTGATCACTTGTATCTTTTATTTAAGTTAAAAATCAAATGACGCTATAATTTCTCTTGCCATTGTTTTCATTCCTTTATACTCGATGGCTATAAGTAATGGAAGAAGAGCTTTTATTCATGTCAATTCATATTGGAATTTCGACCTTCTGATGAAGGTACCTGAATATCTGCTGAATAGAAAATTTAGGTACGTAACGCGATCTAATGCATTCTCTAGCCACAGCCAGAAGCTTTCTCAGCTCACTGCAGTCGTAACTATCTCCTAGATCAGGATCTATCATCCTGTTGAACGAGCTGCTCGAACAACATTCTTGAATCCATTGAACTAAATCCGTGCCCCCTTTCTCACTGTCCTGTCACCAGCTCCAGTATCAGCAAGCCTAACTGGAAGATGATATTTTCACGCCACGATGGGGTAGGATCTTCCGAGTCAGAGCGCTGGCGTATCAAAGCGAAGCTATTCGCGGCAGAAGTATCCAGGCCAATGTCAGAAAGCTGTCAGAGGAACAAACGGAAGTAGGGAACTATAGTCATTCTAACATCTAATTAGGATTTATGCAGATGATGCAGATGATGCCTTGTGCTGTAAGTACCTTGGCGTTGAAGTTCTAGTCAAGCATGACTTTGCTGGAGCTGATGGATTTTGGATGACTGATGTCAGTTTGTCCGTTTGCAGTCAAGAACATGCTTACCAATGCCAGCTGCCACGCCAATGGCTACCTGCAGCCTTGTCTTCCAATCCAAGGGAGTCCTCAGAGGATCTATCATGTAGACATTGTACAAGAACATTAATGTTCGAATATCCTGGTACGAAAATCGCCTCACAAACAGAGCCAACCGACCTGCATAAATCAAGATTCCACCCACTGATTTCCATAAGGAAAAAAAAAAAGGACACAATACCCTCGAGTTCTCGCCATCCCAGTTGCGAATCTTCAGAATTGAAACCGGTAACGAGCAAAGATGGTTTCTTTTTTTACCAGTGCGGGATCTGTGGAGCCATGAGAGGAGACGAGGCCGGAGCTTTTGTATCACATCATTCATTTCGCTGTCGCTGGCTTAGCTGGAAAGACGTTCTAATTTGGTAAAGAATTACTCAATTCTACCATTGTTAACTGTTTTTCCTTTTACCAGAGAAGCATGGCATCACTGCGGCGACAGGTAATCTTTCCGCATCCCCAACTCCCTCCGTTTGCACCATTGAATACCAATGTTGTCATAACCGAATCGGAGCATGACCCGGTAATGCGAACGGCTCGCACTTTAGTGGTCCAACCGGCATTAGACCGTTTAAAAATCGTTAGAGAACCGGTACCTAATAAACGTTATCAGTATAAATAGTGGACATTTCCTAATCAGAGCTCGTCTCTTTCCTTCGAAATTGTGAAATGGAAATAAGGATTCAGTTTGAGAGCCCGACGTTTTTGGTTTATTTCAATTTTCTGTAATTTTTTTAATTAAATTTAATGGCTCATGGCAAAAACCGGACGAGCGGCTCGATCGGCTCGAGCGGTTAACCGCCTCGGCCGCTCGTCAACCGCTACGTAAAACCGAAGTGGCTTTTAGACTGTTCCGAGCCGGTTTTGTGACCGGGTGGCGGTTTTACCGGTCGGGCCGAGCGGCTCGGCTCGGTTTTAATAACACTGTTGAATACGCTCTAAATACTTGAAGCAAACAATGAATTTTGGACAAAGTCTATCATGGATCCAAATCCATCAAGCAAACAAACCCTTATGCCAAAGTTTGTTAATTGAGTTTACTAAAATGTGTCATATTTAGTCATTGGAAAGAATTAATATCAATTTTGGTCACTCAAATTACTCAAACAATCAACGTTTGATCACTCTCAGTTAGTCTCCGTCCAACTTCGTTAAATGAATACGTTATGTGCTGATGTCGCAAACAGAATGGCCTAGTCAACGTCATTTTGAACTGGAAATAGTGAAACCCGACCCGCCATGTCATATGCCCAACCTAACCCGATCAATGAACCAAACCCAAACCCACTTAAATCCAAAAAGTGCAAAATAGATCGGTTAAGGGGCGATTTTCAGACCGATTCCTTTCTTCTTCCTCGCGAACCCCGTCCGTTCCTCTACCATTGCGACATACCTAAAAACCCCACTCAACCTCCAGCCCGACCTTTTCTCACAATTTTCTACACCGTTTTGTCGTTACGCGCCCTATATCCTCATCTTCTTCATCATCGATGATGCCGTCAATCTCCCTTATTCCCTTCCCAATGCGGCGGTAGCAGTTGTCCAAACCCCAATCGTCCTGGTACGGCGGCATTAGCAGCGGCTTCGACATTAAACCACTCCCTCCGGCGCCGGCGGCAGCAAGAGACTTCGCTGTGGAGGAGGAGAAAACCCTATTCCAGATCTGGGAGAAGGCACGGTCGATGATGCTGTGGTGGTAAGGCAAATTGAGCTGGAGGAAGCAGTTGAGGAGCTCTCTGAGGTCGTCCCGCGAGTAAATATGCTTCTCCAAGATCATCTGCAACATCGACTGTCAAGGTAAGGGTCGATAGAGTCCTTCTCCACCGCCTCGCTCTCCCCGTCCAAACGCCCGAACCCTCTCACCGTCCTCCGACACGATTCCCCTCGTCGTCTTTGTCCGTTGCAGCAGCGGGGGAGAAGGTCGCCGCCGTGGTGGCAATGCTGCTGCTGTACGATGACGTGGAGGAAGAAGAGTGGTAGTAGTAATACGATGACTGCGTGTTGGCGGCGACGACGATGGAGAAGTAGGTAATTTTGGTGCTTGCGGTAAGTTGTGGGTTTGGGCTTGGGGTGGAAATTGGAGAAGAGGTGTTTTTTGGGCCTCCTGCAAATGCTGGCGTCGCACCCAAGACGAGGACGAAGGAGCTGAAAACCAGCTTTTTTTGTGCCGGTGTCGGACATTGTGTGGTGGTGTGTTATTAGTGGGGGTGGGGGTGTTTGGTTGCTGGGAAAATGGAAGATAAAGAAAGAAGCTTTTGTAATTCGTGGCTTACACCCCTTTAAATAGGTATGGAAAATACACCCAATAAAAACACCAAAAAGAAAAAGAATTCTAAATGAAAAAGGTACTAAAACTCGACAGAACCCGAAACCCGGTCTAAATACCCATGTATTCTTCTCTCGCGGCTCACATCAATCCCTCCTCGTTGAAGAAGTTTTGCCCTCGAAGCTTTCCATCCTGGCTTCCAAATGAAATTTCCTGTATAATCAGTACCAAGAAATAACAAACATCCTCCACAATTCCATAGAATCAAAAGCTCAAACAACCGATCAAACATGGGATCCAAATCATGAACTTGGAAGCTCAACTCGTCGTAGTCCACCCCTTGAGTCCTCCATCCGGGTTTCCAAACGAAACTGGCTTCTTCAATGGCATTCAATCTTGAATATTATCATCCAAAATCTCCATTCCTCACTAGACTCAAGCCACAACAATCTGTCTTCTTGCATCCAAAGCAATCAGTCCTCAAAAGTAAGCTATGAAAACTCAAAGCTTGAAGACTCCTGCACGAGAATTCATCATCATAATAATTGTAAAAAGGATAAATGATCGGCTCCCTTTTCACCACGACCATCTCATAGAAATCCCCATCTTCCTTCTGCGGCTGTGGATAGTTGATCGACGCTTTCTCTGCTTCCAGATTCGCCTCCTTCTCCTCCTCCTCCTCCTCCTCAGTACTCAAACTCTGTTGCTCCTCCTCATTACACGGACGGTCGTTGTTTGAACTAAGACAACCAACGTTTTCTGTATATCCTTCCAAAGACTGGTGTCGACTAGCCTCTTTTCGCCTTAGACAAACGTGTTCATGTCCGCCGCATACTTTGGATCAATCATGGCTTGAAGCATAGCTTGTGATCTTCTTCTCATTGCCACTCATATCACCGCTGAGTTTGAACGGGGCTCTGATACCATTTGATGTAAGCAGAATCCGGGAATCCGAACTCGCTCACGTATCAGAATACGCAGCTCTCAATCTTTAGGATTTTTTCTGGGATTTTCTCTCAACAACGCAAAAAGTAAAGGATAGGGCGGAATTGTCGTGCAACTTCAACACAAATCGGGAAGAGGCTTAAACAATATAAAGGTAGCAACTCGACCACAATCAAGGGGAATACCTGATTGATACAGAGCTCGCTCGAATGCTAGAGATTTACCAACAAACAAGGACAAAATCCACGAGTAAAAACTCAATGAACCGAAAAGGGTTTTTCCATTATCAAAGTATGAATAATCTGAATGGTCTCCTAAAATTCGTGGCTTACAACCCTTTAAATAGGTATGGAAAATAAATCTAATGAAAACAGCAAAAAGAAAAAGAATTCTAAACGAAAAAGTTAACAAAACTCGGACTGACCCGAAACCCGGTCTAAATACCCGATCGGATATTTAGCTGTCCTGGCCGGGGAAAACCAGTGGACACACCCCCTGGTCACCCTCATTAAATCCCCGGTCATCATATCAAGAAAGCAAATATTCCTTCTCATGTGATCAATTCATTTTTTTAGACTTTGAAATTAATTTTTTATTGTATTAGTTTCATAATTAGAACTCAATACATTATTTTTTTATGTTTTAAATTTATAATTAAAATACAATACTCGATAGAGTAATTAGTATTATACATAATATAGGCTCTGCACATAAGACCCCAATAATTTGAAGCCCGTGCGTGGGCCTCCCCCCTCACTACAAACCCATAGAACTAGGGATGGCAATAGAACGTGAATTCGCGGGTAGCCTACCCGATTCAACCCGATCAACACGGGTAAAACTCACTTTGACGGCTTGCGGGTCGGGTTCGGGTTTAAACCCGCTATACTCTTTGCATATTGAGTTTGGGTTTAGACATATCCAACCCGAGGATACCCAGACTCAAGTTTTTACCCCCAAGACCCATAAAACCCTTAACTATTAACTATGATTTCTAAATTAATTTCTCACATGTTCAATTAATCATATTGTTTGTAGATGTTTATCTTTATATTGAACAATAAGTATGAATGATTTGTGAGTGTGTATGTAAGTAGAAAATAGTAGTGAAAACTAGTGTAATTGCATCTTTGTACATGAACCCTTGGGTACCCATAAATCCGCAGATACCCAGCAGGTTGAGTTTGGTTTGAGTTTTCCAAATCCAATGGGTTTTATCCCGGATTTTTTAATAGATAAACCAATGAGTTTGAATTTGGATTTGGCATAACCCACCCCATTGCCATCAATACATAGAACCGGTCCAGCTTACAGTTCCTACTTATTAATTAATACTGATCGATGAGTGTACGTAACAAGGTTGTCAACCCGCGGGTTGACCCGGACCCAGTCGAGCTAGTGGGTCAAGGGTTAATGGGTCAACCGTTTTAGCCCGGAAATATGGAAAGAGTCGTTATATTGTACATTTCCTTATAAATTATATCAAATCTTATCTAACATATGAGTTATAACATATAATATTACCCCAAGATAACATATCGTACTTAGATCTAGTATAAAGTGAAAATTCACACACACTTATATACATCAATATTCAAATATTCAACTTAGGATTCCAAAGATTGACTTAGGCGAAAAGAAAAATAAAAAAATATGCGCATTTCGCAAACCAAAGAAAAAATGACACAATTTGACCTTCAATCCGGTACCTTATAGCGATCGACCCGGCGGGTATGTGCGGCCCGTTTTTCTCACTGGGTCAGGGTTAAAGTGGGTCGACCCACGGATCAACCCGCGGGTTGACAACCTTGATACGTAATGATATGATCCCATCGTACGTGTTCCCATTGACCTGCGGGTTGACAACTTTGGTACGTAATGATATGATCCCATCGTACGTGTTCCCATTTGTCTAGTGATCGATATATAAGTGCAAATGGCGATGCATGCATGTGTATTGTCCCTCTCATACGTTACACTTTATGATTAATTAATCAATCAATCAAGTCCTTTCTATTATCAACCAGCAACGTCACTCAACCGAACTCGGGCTAAGTTCAGGTCCTTAAATCCTCTTTTTTAAGGAGGGTCTTAAAGCATTGTGATTGGCTGATTTAGAATTAGGTAGTTAGTGGGAGTTATTAGTTATATAGTTGTTAGGGTTATTAAGGGAATTACAATTAAATTAAAAACCGTAACCCTACTAATGTATATACCCACGTATCCTCCTTTTATTTTTCCTCCCGCAAGTCAAAACTCTTCTCTGGTCGTCCCTCCCGCTGAGCTCTCCGGCCGACGATTCTCCTTCTCCGCCGACTGCATCCAGCACCCGTTGCGGTCGTCGTTCTAGTCCAGCAACGTCGCTCGCCATTCTTCTGTTGTTGCCGTCGATTTAGCTCCCCTCCCGCGCTGATCTCCGGCTGGTGAAGTAGCTCCCAACCAGCGTCGGTCCAGTTCTCCCAGCTTCCGTCGCCCCATCTTGCCGGTCTCCTGCTGTCAAGGCGGAGTTTGTTAATAATATTATTGTTTACGTTGAAAAACGAAGAAAATTTCTGAATAATGAATTCGTCATTTGTTGTAAATTATGTATGAAATGTTAATAATGATATTGTATATTGTTAATAATACCGAGCAGAAAAGTTGATAATAGCGTTACTAAAAATGTTAACAACACAACAAGTAAATCAAGCTTCAATTTGAATGAGAATGTTAATAATAGCGTCACTAGAAAATGTTAATAATGTAGGTGAAAACATTAATATGTACCGTTAAAACGTTGACATCTCGGTTAAGCTGCTTTAAAAACCTCAAATCAGAAGCTCATATTGTGACATCATTTTAGCAACTGGTTAATAATTCTGATGATCTAATTAATAATAATGATGTGGTAGGTTAATAATGTTTACAACACGGTCGGTAAATTGCATTTCGATTTGATTGAGAAGGTTAATAATAGCATCACGGAAAAATATTAATAACGTATGTGAAATAACTAATATGTATTGTTGACAACGTTGACAACTCCGTTACGTTGCTCTAAAAATCTCAAATCAGAGGCTCCCCTTATTGTCACATCATTTTAGTTACTGGTTATTAATTTCAGTAATATAATTAATAATAGAGTCGCAGAGGTTAATACTATGGACAATACGACCACTAAATCACATTTTTTTATTGATAATTCTAGTAGCGTTAGTAAAAAATGTTAATAACGTATGCCAAATCATTAATATGCACGGTTGAAAATGTTGACAAATCCGTTACATTGCTTTGAAAACCTCAATCCACCAGCTGCTCAATCCACAAGCTCCTCCGTTACGTTGACAACTCCGTCGCGTTTCTTTTTGATGGCAAGCGACGGACGTAGCGGGCTGACAACAAGCTTGTTCTTACAGATCTTGGATTGTGGTTTATTGTGTAGCACTGCAAAAAAATTGATAATTACATTCAAAATATTACTAATGCTAAAAAAATGTTCAAAAAAAATTACAAACGTAAGCAAAACACATTACAAACATAAGAAGAAAATATAAAAAATATAAGAAGAAAACATTGATAAAGACACTTGAAAAATTAGCAAACGTAAGCAAAACTCATTACAAATAACATAATATAAGTTAAAAATAATTATAATAAATTTTCAACACGTCACAATTAATAGGGTTAAGCCCATCTGACCCTTTCCGCCACTTTCCTTCTATTTAATAATAATAATAATAATAAATAATTATAATATTCCAGTCTTACCCTTGGACGCATTAAGTAGGTAGTTACTTAATAATTACCAATAATTTTCTCTCTCCTTCTCCTATTGGTTGGATGGGTTTAAGATTTTTCTTAAAAAACCGGCCTTAAGGACCTGATCTGACCCGACCAAACTCCTATTCCTCAGCTCGCAAAAACACGAGTTTGATTCAGTTCTTAAGTATAAAGTTGAACAAGTTTCTTAAGTTTTTCTTATCCAATAGAAAGAGGAGAAAGAAGAGTGAGGTCCTATCATCTCAAAATGTTAATATGGTATAGCAATTAAATATTATTATTTAATATTTATTGAAAATTCGACTAAAAGTGTATATTCAAAATTTATATATAACATGTTAAAAATTTTAATTGTTATAACTGTGCTGCTACACATCGAGAAATCTCCGGAATCGAGAAAGCACACGACAAACGATTAAATATTAATATGGTATAGCAATTATATATAACATGTTAATATTTATTGAAAATTCGACTAAAAGTGTATATTCAAAATTTATATATAACATGTTAAAAATTTTAATTGTTATAACTGTGCTGCTACACATCGGGAAATCTCCGGAATCGAGAAAGCACACGACAAACGATTTACGTGGTTCACTAAAACGATGTGTGTTAGCTAGCTAGTACACAGGCATGAGAGCCAGTTTCACTATATCGAAGAGATTATAGATTACAGAGGAGATGCGAAGTATTTATACTTCCCCATGTGACTTCCAGTCGTAAAGGCTGACAGTCCGATTCAAGTCACATCAACAGTAATTATAAATAAAAGATGTCCACTCTCCATTTCTCCGTAGCAACTTACAATGACATTATTAACGTTTTGAAATGACATTATCAATGTTTATTAAATAAATTATTACTAATAATTATTAACGGTTTTAATATACTTATCTATTCTATACTATTACATTATTAACAATTTCATATGAATTGTTAATGGTTTACATTTTCATCATCAACACCCATCCCCACCCAACCCGTGGGGTGATCTCGTAAAGGATTAAGAAGGATATTAAAGTTATCACATCATCATTAATGGTTTGAATAACATTATCATTGATTTACAACATCTTTGTTAGATATTCACGTTTTCACATTATGTTTACGACTTAATATAATGTAAGTAATCTGTGAAGAGTTTTATAATAACCTCCTTGTTATCATTGTCCAGGAGGCTAAGATGGCTTGTCATTTGGACGTCTAACAATGCGCAACACATTCCACCTCGGCGAGTCATCTTAGACTTGTTCACAACTATAAAGGTCGATGTCAACAATCAGATGAACTGGTTACGATAACTCGAGCAGGTAAGCAAGAGGCCACAAGCAAAGGTGTCAGGAAATATGTTGGGAAATCACGATCTTACATTAAGATGGAGTATGCCACTCTGTTGTGCATCTCTCATTTTAAAGGAAGAAGCCACGTGATGTATGGATGGCTTGTGTGGTTTGATCAATGGAGTTGGCAGTGGGTGTATACCTATGTGTCCTTAGTTACTACTAAGGGTTAGGACGTGTGGTTATGCTTCTCAACTCTTGCAACAAAAATATAGAATAAAATAAAAATAAATAAATTAGCGAGAAAGCATCCAAGTTGACTTTTGGATGGCGTGACTCAAGTAAAAGGACACCACCCAATTTATGGATTATGACTGGTGGTAGCTTCAATTTATAGAGGAGAAATTTGGTGTGTCCTTAGACCATCTACAAAGAAGTGCTAAAAATTAGGGCTAAAGTGCCAAATTTGCTGAAAATTTCCCACCAGGATCTCTCTCTTCCTTCTCTCTCTTCCTTTCTTCTCTGAACGTTTCGCGTGAGATCGATGGCGGCCGTCACCGGCGGATCCAACTCAGGTGCCGTCGGTGACGGGCGCACCTGGGCATCTCTTTTCTCAGTCAGTCCGGACTTCAAGCTCGATTACTATGAGCCGGAATTCGTGAATGGGTCTCTTAGGATACCTAAATCGGTGATTGATGAGGGAGAGAAGCGATGGGTGAATAGCTTGGTAGGGCAGTTTCTGGATCGGCCAGCGTCGCTTTCTTCAATTCACTTCTGGGCGAATTGGATATGGGGGCGGGATGGATTGGTTAGGGTGTCGTGGTTAGGGGAGCGTTTGGTGCTGTTTCAATTCCCGACCGCAGAAGTGTGTCGTTGGGTTTTTGAAGGGGGGCCATGGCATCACAGGGAGAATATGGTTTTGCTTCGGCGATGGGAACCAGGTATTCAGCCTCTAGCCATTGACAATTCTGCTGTTCCAGTCTGGGTCCGATTATCAAATCTGCCTTCTGAGCTAGCTTCTAAGGAGGGTTTGGGGCGACTTGCAAGTTCTTTAGGGCGCCCTCTTTGTATGGATTATCCAACAAAGCAGGGGACCAAGTATGGTGTTGCTAAGGTTTGTGTCGAGATTACTGCCACGACTAACCTAATTCAAAAGCTGAGTGTTACTCCTGAGGGGCGTCCTGAGATGCTGGTGGATGTGGAGTTTTGTCATGTGCCTCGGAAATGTGAGAAATGTAGAGTGTTTGGGCACGACTGTGCTAATCCAGGAGGGGCGGTGAAGAAGGTATGGGTTGTTAAGCAGCCAAAAGTTGTGAAGGTGGTATCAGCCAGTGACAAGGGTAAGGAGACAATGGTCGAGCAAGTTGTTTCTCAGTTGAGCATTGAAGCAGCTAGTGAGCAAGCTGCTGAACAGGCAGTGGCTAATGCGCAGATAGTGAATGTAGAACAGAGAATTGAAAATGTGAATGTACCTGTTGGGTCAGAGATAGGAGAAAGTAGCACTGTGGTGCTTCCTGTGACAGCAGTGGTGGGTGAGAGTAGTTCTACTCCTGACAACGAGGATGGATTTCAAGTAGTTACTAGACATAAGAACAGGGTTAGGGCTCCTGATCCTGCTTCTGTTGCTAAGAGCCCCTGGAATCTTTTCTCTGGTCAGAAGAAGGTGCAGTTGGATGACAAGGCTTTCCCCTCTTTAGGTAAGCCTGTCTGGAAGATGAGTGCTGAGCCGCCACAGCCTGCTAAAGGCAAGGGGCGAGGCAAGAAAAAGAAATGAAGGTAATGTGTTGGAATGTCAGGGGCTTTAATGCTTCTGAAAAGCACTCTGCAGTGCTCCACAAAATACGTATACATCAGCTTGATATTATAGCAGTTATAGAAACTAGAGTAAGAGTTGATAATAGTAAGGATATAGTTAATAGAAGGTTTGGTAATTTTGGTCATTTGAATAACTACCCTAAGTCCCCTAATGGTAGGATCTGGTTATTTTGGAGGAAAGGCATTTCAGTTACAATGTTGGAGTTTGGCAAGCATTTCTTGAAGGTCTTAATTGGTGGTACTGTGTCAATGGTTCTAATGGTGGTATATAGCCCAAACAAGGAGTCTGAGAGGGTGGAATTGTATGGTGAGTTATTGTGTCAGAATGAACATGTGCTTCCTATGGTGGTGATGGGAGACTTCAATGCTGTTAGAAGCCCTGATGAAACCTCAAACCTTGAGGCAGTTTCTGCTAGTATGGAGGAGTTTCAGAGATGGATTCAGGAAATGAAACTGGTTGAGCATAAGGTGGCAGGGAGTTGGTTCACATGGTGGAACAAACAGAAAGAGAACCCTATAGCCAGGCGCTTGGATAGAGTGCTGGTTAATGATGCCTGGCTATCTGTTTTCTCTACTAGTGTAGTGCAAACTACCCCCCCTGGGGTATCTGATCACTGTGGTATGTTACTTGCTCCTACCCCTAATGTTAGTAGTTTGCCTAAGCCTTTTAAGTACTTCAAGTTTTGGGTGAGGCATCCTTCCTATATGCAACTGGTAACTGAAGCATGGGGGAAAGAGGTGACAGGCTGGCCTCACTATGTTTTTTATGGTAAACTAAGACATGTTAGAATGGGGTTGAGAAAATTAAACAGGGAAGTTTATTCTGATATATCTGTTAAGTCTAAGGCTGCTGAAGGGAGGCTGGAAGCCTTGCAGGCTGAGTTATTGCTACATCCCACTGCAGTTTTGATAGAGGAAGAGGGGAAATTAGCTAAACAGTGTCTGGAACTGAGAAGAGCAGAGGAGAGTTTCTATAGACAGAAAGCCAGACTTCAAAGTGTACAGGAGGGGGATCTTAATACAGCTTATTTTCATAAGACTGTGAGGGTCCATAATCATAGGCAACAAATTTCAAGAATTTTGAATGACCAAGGTCAGGAGGTTACTGATATTAAAGGGATTGGTAAAGTGGCGGTGGACTTCTATGCAAAGTTAATTGGCACAGTAAATACAGAGGTGCAGCTTCAGCCAACCAGTTTCTTTCAGCAGTTGAAGCTCAAATGCCTAGATCCAGATATGGCAAATTCTATGATTCTTCCTATCACAAGGCAGGAGATCAAGGATGTCTTCTTCAGTTTAGGGAGGGATAAGGCCCCTGGACCTGATGGATTCCCCTCTGAATTCTTCAGGCTCCATTGGGACTTGATTGGCTCTCTTGTTGAGGGCGTGGCTCTTAATTTCTTCCAAACAGGGGTGATGCCAAAGGCAATTAATTCTACTCTTTTTACTCTGGTGGCAAAGGTTACAAATGCTGAGCGAATGAAGGATTTTCGACCCATCTCTTGCTGTAATACTATCTACAAGGGAATATCAAAGGTACTGGCAAATAGGTTAGCCACTGTTCTTCCTCTACTCATTTCTAAGTCTCAATCTGCTTTTATTAGGGGCAGGTCTATCAGTGATAATATTCTCCTAGCGGCTGAACTGGTTAAGGATTATCATAGGAAGAATATTACCCCTCGTTGTGCAATAAAAATTGACATAATGAAAGCATTTGACTCGGTTAGCTGGCTGTTTCTGTTTTCTGTGCTTGAGAATATGGGGTTGCCTAAGCAATTTATAGACTGGTTGAAAGCCTGTATTCAGAATCCTCGAATCAGTGTGTGTCTTAATGGTGGGATTTGTGGGTCATTTGAGATGGCTAAGGGTCTAAGGCAGGGGGATCCATTGTCCCCATACCTTTTCACAGTAGCAATGGAAGTCTTAGATGGTATGTTGAAGTTAGCAGCAGATCAAAATCAGATTCCATTCCATCCTAGGTGTAAACCACTGTCCATCACTCATCTCTGCTTTGCAGATGATTTGTTGGTGTTTACAAATGGATCTATCAGAGGGGTTGCTGGGATCTGTCGTGTGTTGGATGCTTTCTATTCTATATCAGGTTTGAGATGCAATCCTGATAAGTGCCAGTTGTTTTGTGGAGGCATTCCAGTAGAGGAAAGGGTTATGATTTCTGAGTATTCTAAGTTTCCCAATAGTACTTTGCCTGTTAGGTATTTGGGAGTTCCTCTGCTTACTGGAAAACTTACTAAGGCTGAGGCCAAGGTGCTGATTGGAAAGATAACAGGAAAAATTACTAGTTGGAGATCCAAATACCTCAGTTTTGCAGGTAGACTTCAACTGATTAACTCAGTTCTTACGAGTGTGTTGCAGTACTGGATGGGGATTTTCCTGCTACCAAAATATGTTATAAAAGAAGTGGAGTCTATCTGTAGCCACTTTTTGTGGGATATTGACGAAACCTCATTGAGAAGAAGAGCAGTGACTGCATGGCAATTCATTGCAAGGCCTAAAAAAGAAGGAGGGTTGGGTATAAGAAATTTCTCCATCTGGAACAAAGCTTGTGTTTGCAGGCACCTTTGGGCGCTCCTGGCAGCAGAGGGGTCTATTTGGGTTGCGTGGATCACAAGATATAGGATAAAGCAGTCATCTATATGGGATTTGAAGGAGAGTGCAGCAGGGAATTGGATATGGAAGAGGCTATTAAAGTGTAGACAACTGGTGAGGCCTCATATCTCTGTGGTAAATTCTGAGCTGCAGTGGGATGGCTTGGTTATGTGCCCCTACTCTGTTTCGAGGGTGTGGGAGTCATTAAGGCAGAAAGAGAATGAGGTTAATTGGTTCCATTTGGTTTGGGATAAGTATGTTATACCTCGACATGGATTCATTGCGTGGTTGGTGATAAATGATAAACTAAAGCTTCAGGACAAACTTATCGCATGGGGGAAACCATTATCTGGGTGCTGTCTGATGTGTCCTGGAGGTGTGGAGACTCGGGACCATCTGTTTGTTCACTGTTCTTATATACAATACTTATATATGCGTGTGCTGGGGGTAGCCTTGCCTCCTGTGCTTGATAGTTGGGGTTCCATGGTGAATTGGTGTGTGCAACAGTGGAGTGCTAATACCACTGTGAACTTCCTTAACAGAATGTGTTGGAGTGCTTTGATTAGCCTTGTGTGGAGGGAGAGGTGTGCAAGGATGTATGGTTCTGCTGCGGCGAGGAGTCCTTTGCAGCTGCAGAGTGTTGCTCGAAGATTCATTAGAGGGAGATGCCTTTTGAACCAAAATTTGATTGACTGTTTTGTAGAAAGGGGGCTTGGGGTAGATAGGTAGCTATCTTTTGATTTTGTGATTACCATTTGGGTTTGATGTACAGGGACTGTCAGTTTGTGAGGGCTCCATAGCGATTTGCTATTGGTGCCGGGGTTTAATGCAATTTTGATTTAACCATAAAAAAAAAATAAAGTGCCAAATTTGGCACTTAATAAAGTGCTTTTGGTCCAATGGAGTAGAGTCAAATGCCAAAATGCTATATTTGTGCTTTTTTATTAGTTAGTTTATTGTATATTTCATTGTTTTATTTATATTATTCTGAATTATTTTTATATAGTTAGTCATAATTAGTTAAAATGAACATTATGATGTAATTTTTTAATTTTGATATATATTTTTTGTCGATAAATACGACGTCATCAATGGCGAAAAACAGTGGCTGGGGCCAATGTAGTGAGAGATTAATTTTGATGAGGGAGAGAGAGAAAATGTAGTTTTGGTGTAATTAGAAGTGAAGTATGTGGTGGTATTTATAGAGAAAATTTGAAAAATATAGTTGTTGGGTAAAAAAAAATTGTCGGGGAGAAAAGAGCCGTTGGAGGCAAAATTGGGGTTTGTGGAGAAATTTTCGAAACTGATCAACAATTTGGTAGATAAAATAATGAAAAAAAGAACAAAAAGTGGAGGGACGTGTGAGTGAAGTGAACGCACCCCTCTTTCCCTCCCCCGACTAGTTTTTTATTTATTTTGGCACTCTTTGTCATTTTGTGAGCCAAATTTGACCCCCAAACTCATAAAGTTTTAGACTTCCCCTTTTTAGCACGGGCCATTGCAGCCCAAAAGTGCTAAACTTTGGCACTTTAACCCTCCCATTGTAGATGGTCTTATAGGTCTATGTCTTCTTTTACTAGTATCAGTATGATAAGTATTAAGAGGATGTGTCTTAGTCTCTTAGATAAAAAGCAAAATACACTTGTATAGCCATAACTTTCACGGTTTTGACAAATATATCCATATCTATTCAAAAACACGAAATAGCCAAGAAATTGGATGGTCGTGTGACAATTCTGTTAATAACTTTAACGGTGTTTGAAACTCCGTCGGTTAGGTTAATGTTAGGATGACTAGGATGCCAAATCATCGCACACGTCAGCGACAACTCAACCACACTTGCCACGTAAGTGCCATGTCATATTTTAATTTAAAAATAAATTAGTTCATAAATTAATAACTAATTTGAAAAACATAATTTTTTTGTCCTTTTCAATATCCAGTCTCCTCTCCCTCTCTCCTCTCCTTCGTCTTCCCCATCTGTTCTCCGATGGACTCCCACACCATCTCTGAAACCGCCGCCGCATCAATCAACTTTACCACCACTGTCGCATCAATCGTCATTTCCAACTAGCGACCATCGCTCCCAACCAGCGACTACCCCCCCCCCCTCGTCTCCAAACAAATCCCCTTCCCTGCAACAAAAATCCCAAACCCAAAAATACCCAAAATCTCTAGAAATACCCAACCCCTTCCGTCTCCGATTCAGATCTGCCTCACCGTCGCTGTTGTTGCAACGTCGACGCCTTCAGATCTTTGTTCACGACGATTATTTAATGAGATCCAGCTTCTCAATCTCCGTATCCAGAACTTGCACTCTTTCCCTTAATTTCTCAACTCGCACAGCCAGGCCCTTCAACTCCCCCTTCGCCGCAGCCCTCTCCGCCTTAAGCTCCTCGTACCGGCTCGCCTTCACCATTTCCCCTAATCGAACAAGCATGAAGCCGCCGTTCATCCCCATCTGCTCTAACCCTCTCAACTTGCTCTCTCACATCTTAAAATCCCTACCTCATCCCGCGGAGCCAACCACGGACGAAGCTGCCATGATGGAGCCTGCAATGCTGGCCGTTTCTGCGATCATGCATGCAATGATCTTACCATAGAGGCCATCGAGCAGGTGCAAATAGGAACCCTGGCTGCGGCAGAGGTCAAGTTCAGATTTCCATTGGTTTTGTTGTTTTGGAGTGAAAGCAAAATCCGCTCCAATGGCTTCAAACAGGTGGCTTAAAGGGAAAAGAAAAGAGGAAAAAATGGGTAGTTTAGGTTACGATTTCTAGAGGTTGTGGATAGCATAGAAGGAATTAGCGGAAGAAGAAGAAATTGATTTGTTCGATCTCTTCCCCAGTTGCCCAAGTTGCTTTATGATTTTTTATTTTAATTTTTGATCTCTTCCACAGTTGCCCAAGTTGCTTTATGATTTTTTTTTGTGTGTTAATGGTGGGGATAATAAATTGCCAACTCAGCATCTTTCGTTAGTGCAGTCATAACGTCTACTAACACCGTTACCAAAATGGACGGAATTGGCTATTTTGGGTTTTCGAATAGATATGAGTATATTTGTTAAAAACGTGAAAGTTATGGCTATAGAGTTGTATTTTGCCTATATAAAAAGAATTTGTATTCCTTATCTGAAAAGGAAAAGTATTATTTAAAGCCACGTTTTTTGGTGGTTTGGCTATTTAGGGATTAATTAATTTGTTTGGCTTATTATTGATGGTAATGTCCAACATCGTGGATACCATCCAACCTCTAATTGGAAGGTGTCATACAAAATCATGGACACCATCCAACCATCCATGTTATGTTATGGTGACCATCTAGTCTCGTTACCATCCATGTATGGTTTTCTTAGTCAACATGGATACCATCCAAGTTGTTTGGTGTGTGATTACCATCCAATTGTTCATCCATGGTACGAAGGGTTGATGACCTAGTGACAGACAAATCAAACCACAACAAGTCTCGTCAAAATTTATCTTTTCTCTCTAGAACAGTAATCTAAACACTAGCACCAGGGACCCTCCACGAGGCTTATCTGTTAGTTGTAGTCAGTAGTTGCGGAGCTCTCAAGGAATCTCCATAAGAGTAGAGGTAACAATAACTAGATCCTTTGATTTATGTATCAAACACCCTCGTTCAAACAGTAATTGAAGAGATGTTAACCAAATAATATCGTTTTTTGTTTTCTTGAACTGAGGGTGTATTAATCACGCGAAAATTCCAAAAAGCAGTCACTTACCGTTTGTTACTCAGATCCTTCCGTTAGCACCTATTTTCCCTATTTTCTCTTCGCCTGCACGATCAGCTCAGGTACTGATGTATTTATCTTCTAGTTATATAAAGTACAAAAGACTAATAATGAATACAAGTAGAATTCTCACAAAACTTCAATACATACAAATACGTCATTTTTTCTAGGGTAAGCTCAAACGGCATAGTATAAAGAGACTTAAAAAAAGAACCAACGAAACTAAATGCGATGGTTCATATGCAATCGAACTATCAATAAAATAATCTGTCTTGCTCATGCATAAGCAGTTCTGTTAAAATTCAATGAAGTAAAAGACACGACACTGGCAATTTTTTCCCCTCTATAAGAGACATGACACTAACTAGAATCAAGAGAAAAAATGAATTTGTTCTTAATTATATGAACAATTGTACATAATATAAAAAAATTGTTATATGAACAATTAACCGTATGTTTGCGAAAAATGAGCTTGATATAGCGGTAATATCACTAGTATGAAACATGCAAATTCCATATTCGAATCTTTTAAATAGCACTCTAAAAACAAAAAAAGTAAACCTATATCATTATTAAAATAACAATTAATTTGTATATGTTTCCATCGTACGTGTTCCCGTAGTGATGTGTAAGTGCAAATGTGTATTGTACCTCTCCTACGTTACACTTCATGATTAATTAACTAAAAACTAATGAGTCAAGTCCTTTCTATTATCAAACCACCACCAACAACGATTACAATATTATTAATACAGAGTAGGTAGTGACAGTGAATATTCAATTGCATCATACACGATTAATTAATGCACGTATGTAAAGTCATACTAGTAATTAGATATCAGTCAGGAGAGAACGAGAAAAAACTAAAAATGATAAACATATGGTAATGTTTAAATGATTAATGAATTTGATTAAATATAAAAAAAATTAGAACATAAAAAAGGTAAAACTCACTCCACTCTTCCATTATTCTCAACACGACCCCGTATCTTCCACTTTCATCGATTAATAACTTTCTTTCACAAACGATAAAAAAAAGATGTTAACAATACGATTGCATATCATTAATAATTGCTTTCACAAATATTGCCTTGTATGTTATTAATAATTTATTTTAAAATGTTAATAACAATATTGCACGCTATTAATAATTTCATTCACAAACATTAATAAAAAATTGTACCGAAAAAATCAGAAGTAGAATATTTTATGCTGAAATAATAGTTAAACTTTCATACCACCAAATCCCACCGATCGGTATCGGTTATTTTCTGGCCGAATCGTCGATAAAGTATGATTTTTCAAATCATTTGTAAAACGTCGATCCGTGAGATATTTATCTCTGACTATTTATACTTAGTAAGGTCTATTATTATCTTTGTTTTCGTAATCGGACCGGAGGGTGAACCGGAAAAGTTAGTGGTTTAGGGTTCAGCGGTTAATCGCTACAAAATCATTGGTGAACCGTTGATAGAACCGTTCATGATATATAACATATAAGACTTCTATATCACACTAATTTAAAAATGAAATTATCATTGACCATAAACAAGTTCAAATTCATATAATCACCAAAGTATCTGACAAATCATTCCAACCATCTCACAAAAGAAACCACATTTTTTAATTCAAATTAAATATTAATTACGGTTCTAGTCGGTAGTAGAAAACGTAAAGTCGACAATAAGGTTAAGGAAGCATATATAAAATTAACAATTATAATTTGATGGTCTTAGTTTATGTTAAATGATTTTTTTTTTGTTTTGTTAAAATAGTGAACCAGTGTACCAGTTAAACCGTATTGGTTCATCTGTTTTTTATATTGAACCATGAAAAATTATTTGGTCCATCAATAACCGTTCAAGCAATGAATCAGACATGTATCGTAACTGGTTAGCCCGATCGTTCATCGGTTCAGTTTTTATAACAATGATTATTACCCCCTTGATCGCCTCTCTCTATATACAGCTAGCTATAGCTTCATTACTACTCATCAGCAACCAACCAACCCACCAAGTCGATCTTGTTTTAAGCTTTCATATCAAACCAATGGCGGCGCCGTCGTCGTCGTTCTCCGTCTTACACCTCCTCGCCGCCGCCATCTGTCTCATCCTTCTGCCTGATTCTGCTCACGCCACCCCAGTAGATTTCCAATACTGCGGTCAGTGATCTTCTTCTTCTTCTTCAGATCTTCTTCTTTTTTTCAATGGGATGACGAATTAGTCGTTGCATGCATGCAAATGCAGTTGACGAAATCTTGTATAGAGTGAGTGTTTACGAAGTTGACATCACTCCCGATCCCGCGGTTCTCAACAAGCCAATTACTTTCAACATCTCAGCATCCACTGGTACGTACGGCTAAGGCTAATCTCGATATAGAAAAATTACGATATTGTCATTCATTCGACTTCAAAATAATGAGAATATCTTCGGACAAGAGAATTAGAAATTTAGTTGTGAGACTCACTAATAATTTTTTGGTGAATTTTCTAATAAAAATATTAGTCTTTATTTTAAGTTTATAAAACATTAATTTTTGTTCTCTCGAATTCGAAGGATATTGGAGGTCATACATGATAAGTTAGTGGCAGGGTATTTGTATTTATGTCGTGATCACTCAATCGTTTCATACCAGCTGCAAAACTAGGTACCAATTTGAACGCGCCGCTATGCAAAAAAAATTCGGTCGAATTGTCGAAATGATATGATTTCGCAGATGTTTGGACATAACTTAACATCTCCCAACAACTCGAGTTATTAAGATCAACTAGTTATTGACATGGGTATCAGAGCCTTCTGTGATCGAAAGGTCTTCTGTTTGAATCTCGATAAACCCCATCTATTCTGTTAATTACATGATGTTCTGGCCTGTGCAAAACTTCAATCCCTTCTGAGGTGGCTTTCATTTGATCAGAGGGTGTGCATTAGTAAACAGTATATCACCTCTCCAACAACTTGAGTTATAGGAATCAACCGGTTCTTTTGACAGTTTAGGGCATTCACTTTCGTTCGTCTATCAATATTTTGCAACAGTTGTGAATATCCATGCCGGAGAAGTGGAGATGGAGGTTTACGATATTGGAACGATCCGTCTCTATGCGGGAACTACAGAGCTCTGCAAGGGCGATATCCACTGTCCTATTCTTCCTGGCTACTTCGAGTTATCTGAAGTCCGAAATATGATGCTCCCATCAGTAAGATTTCTTCTTCTTGAGGAATTTGGATCTCATGCATGCATGTACGCAATGCAGTCAAAATCGCGCTTTAAAACTTAAGAACTTACGATTTTACGCTTCTAGTTCACCAAAACGCTTTACGTTTTTACGCTTTTAGTTCACTAAATGAGTATTCTTTTCATGAAATTAATTATAAAAAATATATTTTAAAAGTAAATCACCAACAATATAATACATTTGAGATTAGAATATACATATCAGGTACTTGGATGCATTCTTAACTTCAATAGCGTAATCTAATTCACCTGCTAGACTTTTCCCAAATTCATTAGCATAGAAGGAAAAGTGGCTTATTGTTAAAATTTATGTTTACGAACTTATTATTAAGATGCTATAAGTTGCTCTACTTTAAGCATGAATTACATGTATTTATTAACTTATCTAAATTCTGTGCATTCATATTTTATATAGTATATGTCCTATTCAATAGATTTTTAATTATTTTTCATTATGCGTAAAAAACTTACGCTTTTACGCTTTGATACTACGCTTTACGATTTTACCCCTTTTTCACTTCTAGGTAGAATCGCGCTTTTGACTGTATTGCATGTAGGTAGCCAAATCGGCGTTGTTTTCTTCTCATAATACGATAATGGTTTTGCGATCTTCTTCTTCTGATGAAACAGGGCACTTTCTACACAGTGAAGATGACGTTGAGGGAAACTGGTAGATTTGATCTGACTTGCATCAGCTTCAAACTCCCACTCGGTTTGTTCCCCTCCGTGCTCACTTACTACTGAGAGAGAGAGACCCGATCGAGTTCAGTGAATAAAGTGGGCCGATCCTGCTTCAGCTTTGCATGGATTGGTGGGCCCTTAACGTGTTATTCCGTAGTCGGGCTTATTGTGAAGCCCATATACTAGGAAATTAAAGAAGCCCGGCCCGAGTGGGGAGGTTTGTCCCTTCCTCTACAAGTTTGGTCGGTTGATTCTTCTTCAGGTTTACTTTCCTGGCTCTTGGGATGTTGATCGCTGATTACTAAGCAATAAAATAAAAAATATGCATTCGCATATTTTTCTTATAATATCACGACAAGTCACTGTCATTCTGCAAAAGTTTGTGTTCTTTTTTTTGTGTGAAATGATGATCGAACAAAAATGAAATGCAAGGGCTAGATCTTGTTGCTTAATATAATTAGGAAGATTAACGAAAGTGAATTTGATTTGAGTTTGTTTTGTTTTTGGGCCTATTTTGTTTGAGGTTGTTTTTTTGACCTTTTTTCCTTATATGTTTGAAAAAGATGTTTGGTTTTCTGTTTGGGATTAGGAGAAGAGTTCTATAAAGTATAAATATTTTTCACCACCATAATATGTAGTAAGGTTAGTTTTGTTAGTTTGTTTGGTTTGTGCTTTCCGGAATTTGGTTTGTAACCTGTACTCTTCTCAAATCAGTGAAATTTGTTCTCCCCTGCCCGTGGAATACCTAACACACATTGTGTTAGTCAACCACGTTAAATTCGTGTTCGTTTGTGTTGATCTGAATTATCGATTGCACGCTTCTGTTTTGACAATTACAAATTAACAAACGTATCCCTGTACTATTTTTTTTTTTTTGCACAAACGTACCCTTCTAAAATCGCAACGTAACAAAAATACCCTTCTGTTAAAAATTATATTTAGTTGCGCCAAGACCCACTAACCTACACAAACATGTAATTGCATAATTGGTCTGATTGGTTAGTAGTGTCTGACACTAAATCAAACCATCTAAATCGAACAAACCTAAACATTTTAATCAAACCAAACCAATTATCCAAATGAATCATATCAAATTATCAAAAGACTACCGATTAATGATTACCATGATAATCATTCCGTTTTTGAGCACCACTATCTGGAAGGATATTTTGTTGGTTAGGGGATAAATTTTCTCCCATACTTTCAAATACCTCAAATATCTAAAAAAATATGCCTCAAGAATTGGAGTTGATTTTAGTGATTAATCACTAACCACCAAAATTGTGATTAACCAACAAAAAAAAAAAAAAACCCAAACAGAAGTCAGACCGCTATTTAAGCTGGGGGAAGGAACTGCCACATCGATTCAGTTCACTGTCCTGTTTTCTCTGGATTTCCCACAACTTTCTCAGAGACCAAACAGATTCTCGTCCGCAAAATCAATGGCGACCTCGTTGTTCTCCTTCCTCACGGCTAAGCCAACCCTCTTCGTCCTCGCAGCCATCTGTCTCCTCCTCGCACCTTCCGCTCGCGCCACCGATGTCAAGTACTGCGGTTAGTCAATCAGCCTCTCATAAATTCATCATCTCTCGTTGTTTGGTCCGCTTCCCCTCTTTCCCGGGGAAAATCAGCTATAGGCTTATCCTGAGCTCGCCACTGCTTTCGTTTCAATCGATTATGCAATTGAGCAGTTTGATTGATGTGGGTCGAATTGGTTCTCTGGGTGATAATTGACCGCAGATGCCAAAGCCAACTATGCCGTGAAGGTCGAAGGAATCAAAATCACTCCTGATCCTGTGATTGCTGGCAAGCAGGCTAATTTCGCAATCTCAGCTTCCACTGGTACTCACTAAATCCCTTGCCCTTTCTCTTATTCGGGTTTGTTTGTTTGTTTGTTTGTTTGTTTGCGAAGTTAATCAGAAGATTTCTCGTTTAGGGATTTTGACCCTTGCTTTGACTTGCCGCCTAAGCGACTAAGCCCTTTTGCTATAACCGCTGACTTGAAGTAATGAACGGCATTAAGTGATATTCCATGTTGATTCGCCATGGTTCCTTCTCGATCATGTTATTCATTGGGGGGGAGCTCTGTTGGGTCTTAATTTGCTCTAGCGAAGTAGCTATCTGACTATCTATTTGAGTTGATATGATATGAACATCAATGTCATGTGCTTTATTGTAACAGCTGAGGCTATCTCTGGTGGGCAAGTGTTGCTTGAGGTTTACCTGCTTGGGTTCCGTGTTCATTCAGAGACCAGAGACCTGTGCGAGGATATCTCGTGCCCTATTGCTGCTGGCGATTTCCTGCTCTCTCACTCGCAAAGTTTGCCCGGATTCACTCCACCAGTAAGTAACATTCTTTTAGACCTCTCAGTATTCTTCAACACTGTGGTGTCCATAGATTTAAGCATCCGAGTCCCTGAGGTCTATCAAAGTGTCAATGGTGCTGTTTTACTTTTCCCACTAGATGACTAGAAAGAAGATGTGCATTAGTCCCGAGTCCATGAGGTCACTTGGTTTATCAGTTTACTTCCTGCAATTTTTAGTTTGACAATGATCACTCTTTTATCGCAAGATAACTGGTTTCATCATCGGTAGTGCGTTACTCTATTACTCCTTGTGTTTCCCCTGAGAATTTACTCATTGGAGAACATTTAGTCATCTTGTAACCAGTTTTTAGCGTTGTAGGAACTTTGAGAGTCGGCGTGAATGTTAAAAGTTGAGATACTGCATCTTCATCGAACGAAGAATGATGAAACGAGTTTGATGGAGAACATTTATGCAAAACTTATGCACATCATATTTAAGCCATTGGCTAAAAAAGAACATTCAAGCCGTAAGGCCACGAACGCTGCAATCCTTATTATCTAAACGGGATCATCTGGTTGATTGTTTTGCTTGTTTATCCTAACAGGGCTCCTACACACTGAGGATGACGCTGAAGAACAGTAAGAAGAAGCAGCTGACTTGTGTCAGCTTCGACTTCAGCATCAGCTGGTGGGCTTTGGTCGCGGACTACTGAGTTCCAGTTCAATGGCCAACCTTGTTGAGTAGATGCATTGATGGCGCTCCATGTTTCGATCCGGAGTCCAGTTTTATGAGCCAAATGCGATCTCTTCGAGAGGGGCTTTCATGTGTTTGTTTATAAGATGAGACAATTGACGATGAAAACTGTTTTATGTTAAGCACCTGTGAATCTTCGTGTTGGTTCTGTGTTTGTATCTCGAGGCGCCGAATTGGTATTCCACTAATCAATACCCGATCATCATCATGTTGTCATTGTCGAACGATTCTAGGAGCTACTTACCTATTACTGGGAAATTTCTATTTCCTACACCCATAGTGAGAACAATCAGTGTGCTGACTACCTCGCTCGAGAGGTCAGTCCTTACATTTGGAATTTCTTTCTATTTTGGTTTTCGATAATGTTCTATGTAATATGATTTTGTATGACAATTAACGCCTTTCTGTGCCTTATTTTGTTGCGAATGAAAGCGAAAATGCTTTCACACCCACAGGTTCAGCTTCTATCAATGAAGCTCGACAAGCGAATGAAAGAAAAGGACGAAAAGCAAATGCAACTTTCATTTTTGTTCAAGGTTATCACCCTCGCCAAGTCCAGTTCTCAACAATCTCCACCAACCATTCTGGCTTCCTGGTGCCGAACATAATGTAGGCGGTCGATATCCCAATCACTAGTCCGCATCCATATCCCGCCCCTGCGAAACCCCAACTAAATAGCTCTCCACAAGATTCGAGTTCAGGTTCGGAATCCTGATCATGATCACCATCGTCATCGCCTCCGCCGCACTTCTTGGACAACGGAACCCCGCACAACCCTTCGTTTCCAGCATAAGAAGCAGCATTGAACGTCCCGAACTGGTTTCCCTGAGGTATCGGCCCAACTAGCGAATTTCGCGATAGATTCAGGAACGAAAGGTACGTCAAACTCGTGAGCTGCGATGGGATCTTCCTCGAGAGTCGATTGGAGGAAAGATCCAGCGATTCGAGCTCTCGCATATTCCCCAACGAGGAAGGGATCGGGCCAACGAAGTTGTTGTGTGACAGGTTCAGGAACAGGAGCGACCCGAGCTCTCCAATTGCGTCGGGAATCCCGCCTCGAAAGTAGTTGTTCGACATATCCATGGTGGTAAAGACCGTGGGAAATTTGGTTACCACACACTCTTTGCCTTTCACCGTCAGAACAAACGAAAACCGATAGTTTGCCAATCCAATGTAGTATTCCGTTCCCACTTTCTCGGACTTATCTTTCAACATCTTCATCGCAGGGAACTTGTGAAACAAACTTGCGGGCAGAGAACCATTGAAATGGTTGTTGGAAAGGTCTAATATCAGCAACATTGAAAAGCTGTTACTCGTCATGACAGCACCATGGAAGCTGTTGGAGCCCAAGATGAGAACTTTGAGACGTGGAAGGTTCGACAACCATTGTGGGAAAACATCATCAATATTACGATTCCTTTGCTTATTTTTGGTGATGTAAATAAGTTTAGGGGTCGTAATGTTATTAGCCAATCCTCGGGTTAATTGTTGTACGAGGATGACAGTACTTAAGAAAGGGCTTTGCCGCCGCAAACCCTAACTCTCGAGAATCATCATCAAATAACAAAATCCTGAGAACGTGAGTTCTCCGTGGAATAGTCTCGTTCAAATTGAACGAGGAAACCACATGAATTCTTGTGTCGTGTGTTCGATTTATCGTTTTCTACATGGTATCAGAGCCTTCTGTGACCGAGAGGTCTTGTGTTCGATTCCCGGTGACCCCCATTTGTTAAACACATGGTATTCTTGTCTTCAGACCTGTGCAAACTTCAAGCCCTTGTGAGTGGCTTTCGTTTGAGGGGGCGTGTTAGTGTTGTGGTATATGATCCACGATTGAACCTCTCCCAACAACTCGAGTTATTGGGACTAACTGGTTCTTGACATGGCAGCATCCAGTGGCTCATTCCGTTCGTCAGGCTGTAGACAGTTCAACATTATGGCATGCTCGACTCGGTCACCCTTCCTTGGCGAAGATGTCTATTCTACAGCGTTTTATCTCTAGTCCTATTATTCAGCAGAAAGATTCATGTCTTTCTTGTTTTCGTGCTAAACAGACACGTGATCTTTTTGTCTCCAGTTCGATTACTACTAAGGATTGTTTTGAGTTACTCCATGTTGATATTTGGGGTGGATATTCAACCCCTTCCTTTACTGGGGGTCGTTATTTTTTGACCATAGTGGATGATCATAGTCGTGCTGTTTGGGTTTACTTGCTGAAGTTTAAGTCCGAGGTTGCCCGTTACTTGCTCCTTTTCTGCAATATGGTGCGCACTCAGTTTCACAAACAGGTCCGTCGTATACAGGCTGATAATGGACAGGAGTTTTCTACTCACAAGTTGCGTGACTTTTATGATCAGTCTGGTATCATCCTCCAGACCTCTTGCACGGACACACCACAACAGAATGACGTTTGTGAGCGTAAGCATCGCCATCTTTTGGATACGGCTCGCGCCTTACGCTTTCATGCAAATCTGCCGGTTACATTCTGGGGAGAATGTGTGTTGACCGCTGCTTATCTTCTAAATCGGTCTCCCTATCAGGTCTCCCTATCAGGTCATTTTCGGCAAGGAACCACCCTATGAGCACTTGCGGAGTTTTGGGTGCCTTGTTTATGCTCGAGATAATCGTCATGGGTTGGATAAATTTAGTGCGCGTGGACGAGCAGGCATTTTCGTTGGGTACCCTGCTACTCAACGTGGCTACCGCATTTTTGATTTGGAGCATAAGAAGCTTTATACGTCTCGTGACGTCAAGTTTTTGGAGAATGTCTTCCCATATCGTCTCTCTACTGCTCCCAGTGCAGTTGACCCTCTTTGTCAGGCTTCACCACCCATTTTGAGCTCCCCTTCGCCTCCTTGTTTGGATGATAATGATAATAGTGATGAATCTCCTTTATTCCATGCAGCATCCTCGCCGGCCCCAGCAGGACGTCGACCTTCTTCCGCGTCCACCCCTGCTGTTCCCTCTCCCCAGCTCACGTCTTCCGCTTCGCCAGCCAAGTCACCCGACCAGTCCCCGCCATCGCCTGGTCCGACTTTTGATCAGGCCACTCCTTCGCAGCAGTCTTCATCAGCTCCCACTTCTCCCGACACTGATCCCAGCCATCCGCCTGTGCTGCCCGATCCTCCAAATTCTCCAGCTCCGCGACGTGGAGATCGCTCTCGCAAGCCCTCGACTAGGCTCGCGGGCTATGATGTCGCCATGCCTTGGATGGCACATAAGGCCGAGGCCACTTATCCTTTGGAGGATCATCTCGATTATAGTCGCCTCTCTCGGGCGTATCATGCTTTTGTAGCAGCTGTGTCCTCAGTCGATGAACCTCGCTATTACTATCAAGCGGTGCGTCATGCTCATTGGCGCGCTGCCATGAAGGCTGAGATTGTTGCCTGGTTGCGAATGGTACTTGGGAGCTTTGTTATTTACCTCCGGGCAAACGTGCTATTGACTACAAATGGGTTTATAAAATCAAGTTTCTTCCATATGGTTCTGTGGAACGTTATAAAGCTCGTTTGGTCGCGAAGGGTTTCACCCAAATCGAGGGTATTGATTATCACGATACGTTTGCACCAGTCGCTAAACTTGTCACCGTCCGCTGTTTGCTGGCTGTGGCTGCCCAGCGTGGTTGGATCATTCAGCAGCTCGACGTTAATAACGCCTTTCTTCATGGTGACTTAACGGAAGAAGTTTACATGCGTATTCCTCAGGGTTTCTCTCAGCCTGGTGACACTCGTGTCTGTCGTCTTCGGAAATCGATTTATGGGCTTCGTCAGGCTTCTCGTAACTGGTATCAAAAGTTTACTCAGTCTCTGTTGTCCTTGGGTTTCTCTCAGAGTCGAGCCGATCATTCTCTTTTCACCTATCGCCATGGGACTACTTTTGTTGCTGCCCTCATTTACGTTGATGATGTTATTTTGACTGAGAACGATATGACTTTCATCCAACGGGTGAAAGATTTTCTCCATGACAGGTTTACTATCAAAGATCTGGGTGATTTACGGTATTTTCTGGGCATCGAAGTGGCTCGTTCTCCGAAGGGCCTTGTACTAAATCAACGCAAGTATGTTTTGGATATTCTTTCTGAGGCGGGTGTCACAGCGTGCAAGCCGAGTCCTACTCCTATTGAGCAAGGACATCACCTTTGTCGTGATCCCTCATCTCCAGCGACTGACCCTGCCGGTTTTCGTCGCCTGGTTGGTCGTCTATTGTATCTTACAGTTACTCGGCCTGACATCGCTTATGCCGTTAACTTCCTGAGTCAGGCTGTCCACTCTCCTACTCAAGCACATGTTGATGCTGCTACTCGCATTCTTCGCTATCTGAAGTCTGCTCCCGGCCGTGGTCTGTTTCTCCCCTCCTCGGGTAACCTTAGTCTTACTGCTTACTGTGATGCTGATTGGGCCGGCTGCCCGACGTCTCGTCGTTCCACGACGGGTTACTTTATCACCTTGAGGTCTTCTCCTGTTTCTTGGCGCACGAAGAAACAGTCTGTTGTTGCTCGGTCTTCCGCGGAGGCAGAATATCGGGCTATGGCCACTACTGTTAGTGAGGTTCTTTGGCTTCGTTGGCTTCTTCGTGATTTGGGCGTCCACCATAAGGGTCCTACGCCCCTTTTCTGTGATAATCAAGCAGCCTTACACATTGCTGCCAATCCCGTTTTCCACGAACGGACGAAGCACGTGGAAATGGACTGTTATTTTGTGCGGGAGCGGGTTCAGTCTAGCGACATTCTACCTCACAAGATAGCCACCGCGGAGCAACCTGCTGACATCTTCACAAAGGGGTTGAGCGTTGATCAGTTTCATCATCTACTGGTCAAGCTCGGTCTCCTTGACATCCATTCCTTCGCTTGAGGGGGAGTATTACGATTCCTTTGCTTATTTTTGGTGATGTAAATAAGTTTAGGGGTCGTAATGTTATTAGCCAATCCTCGGGTTAATTGTTGTACGAGGATGGCAGTACTTAAGAAAGGGCTTTGCCGCCGCAAACCCTAACTCTCGAGAATCATCATCAAATAACAAAATCCTGAGAACGTGAGTTCTCCGTGGAATAATCTCGTTCAAATTGAACGAGGAAACCACGTAAATTCTTGTGTCGTGTGTTCGATTTATCGTTTTCTACAATCAACGTTGTTGTTCCCGACATCCAATACTTCTAACATCTTGCAAGTCGCCAGTGATTGTGGCAGTGACCCTCCCAATTTGTTCCCGTTCAAGTCCACGTGTGTTAGCTTGCTCATATTACCAAACACCGACGATGGAATCGGGCCGTGGAAGTTGTTGGTCCTCAGATTCAAGACCGACAATTCGGTGAGGTTGAACAGACACTCAGGAATGCTGCCACTCAAGTTGTTGTTGGACAAGTCGATGACCATAAGCGAAGCGAGGTAGCAGATGTAGTTCAGCATGATCCCCGATAACTCGTTCGAACTGAGGTCCATCCATTGGAGATTCCAACGCTTGAGTGTCGTTGAGCTTGTTGGTGCAAGGCCGGATAATCGGTTGTGATCTAGATAGAGATATCTCAAGGAACTCGATCGGATTTCTGGGATTTCTCCGGTGAGTTGGTTATAACTTAGGCCCAATATTTCCATGGATGGTAGGGCTAACAACCATGATGGTATGGTCCCATTGAGAAAGTTATCATCTAGGCTCAAAACGCTCAAGGACTTGAGATTTCCAATCGAATCGGGCAAAAATTTTCCAAAACAATTCGTCGAGGAAACTTCTAATACCTTGAGTGAGGCAGCTGACCAGTTTGATCGTGGAAGCTGAACCAAGAACTCTTTGTTCCGTTTGAGACGTATCGATTCCATGTGTGGAAGACGAAAGACGCTCTCTGGAAACTTCCCTGCTAGTCCACAGTCGGAAACATCGAGATGCTTCATGGAATGCGATAAGTTGGAGAAGGAGGAAGGTTTGATGTTTGACATATTCACCTCCTGAAGCCACAACTCGCTCAGATTCGTGGCGTTCGCGAGCACGTTGGAGTAATCTTCATCTCCGTTGAAGGCGACCTGGTTGAAGGAAAGATAGAGTGAAACGAGTTTTTTGAGATGACTGAACTCGGACGGGATTTTGCCGGAAAATCCAGTATGGGAGAGATTAAGACGAGTCAACTCGGTTAGTTTGACGATATCGGAGGGAATTGTGGAGCCATTGAAGTGATTGTAGGCCAGATTGAGCCCCCAGAGGTGGGGGAAGTACTGGGAGATGAAATTGTTATGAGGCAGAGTACTCTGGAATTGGCGACAGTATCGAAAATCGGGAGGGGATGATCCATCCATCTGCTGACAGCTGATGTCGAGGTCCACGACACGACCGGTCGAGGAGTCGCAAGTAACACCTTCCCACGAGCAACAGTCCGTTCCCTCGTTCCACGACGCCATCTTGTCATGGCCGCCGTCTACGAGGGAGGAGGAGAAGGACTTCTTGAACTGCATCAATGCGTTACTCTGATGAGGACGACATAATAATGGAGGTGGTTGATATTGAGGCATGGAGGCTTGGCAACATGGTTGCAGCGCTAGTAAGAAGGATATGGCTAATATTGTTGCTACTGGAATCTCTAACTTGGGCATTTGATCGATTTTTCTTGTTATCAATGTGCTCTACAAAATGGGTTTTAGCTAGTTACTATCATGCTACGAATGACAATATATAGATTATATAGAGCCAAAGCCCAATTTCGACTTAATTCTCTTGTTCAAACGTGGATAGTGGGAAAAAACAACCAAAGTGGGAAAACTAAACATTATTAGTTCTGATGTTCCCAACTCCGATCCTAACCCGTTTAGTATTGTTGCCTGTTTTTGTTTTCTGTTGTGTTTTTCAAGATTGGAGAAATCAAGGAAAAAAAAATGTTTAGTTGGGCTTCTATTTTTTGTTGTGTATCATATTTGCACAACAGGGCCCAAATTTGAGAAACAACAATTTATTGCTTTGGATTTGATTCTTGTACCTGTTTTACACGAGATTCCAGTTTGTTTTCATTAAAACAACCCTCACTTCGAATCCCACCTAAAGCAAAAAATTTATCTTTATTTTTTTAACTCCCAAACCCGCCTCCAAACCCTAGTCGGCCAACCTTATTCTCATTTTCTCCCAAACCCGCCGCCCAATAGCTCCCTCCCTCTCTCAATTTCTACATCTCGAGACCCAGGCCGCCGATATCGTCAATCTCCCACTCCTCGTCGATTTCGTCCCTTTGCCCCCGCCGCCTCCCTTTCCCCTGTCGCCTGACCTCGCAACCCCTGCCGCCTCCTCCTCTCGATTCCCGTCGCCGACTTCGAATCCTTTCCCCCCGCTGCCGCCTCCTCTCTTTTCTTGTTTTTATTCTAATAGTAGTAATTGAACGCGTTTTTGTTTCCATTAGTGATTACTTATTTTCTATAAAATACTAATCATTATTAATTAGCGCTATGACATTACTACTACAGAACATCAAATAGCTACTAAAAGTGATCAAGTGAGGGGGGGAGGACAAAGTGAGAGAGAGGTGAAGTAGGGTAAAAACAACATAAATTATATTGATTTTAAGGTGAAATTTAATTAAATTTAATTTTAAAATTCCAAAACTATACTTTTTGGAATTTAAAAAATGAAGGGTGAGTAATGAGATTAGCATGGTGCTAACCTTAGAAGTCAGCAAGCCATATGATTCCTTTAGTAAATAACGGGTAGTTGTAATTTCTTCCCCTTCGATACTCCCATTTCTCTATGCTCTTGCAATCCTATTCAGACCGGATGCTCCATTAATATGATTTTGTCTGATTTAGATTGAACCGCACAAATTTACTTTTGGATTTATAGTCAAGGTTATTTCATAGTATTTTTTTTATGTGATACTTGAATTGTTCCATAACAATCCTCCTCTTAAGTCAAGAAACACATAATTTGTGTCTTCCTCTCGACGATAATTTTGATTCGCCGGACATCTATTTTTGACAGACTCTTCAACACCAGGATTTACCAAATGCATATATCATTCTCATTTGAACAGCAAGACAGAAGCTGATCTCCATTTGATCTGCCAGACAAAAAGACAAATCTCAAACTCCGAGATTAACGAATGAGGGTCCACAAAATTGACGTCCACTGTCCCAACTTTGAATGCACTTCAAGTACAAACTCTAATACCACTTGTTGAAACTGAAAGGTTATTGGATTGACAATGGAAGAAAATTGCGAAGAGAATTAATTTCCAATTAGCTCCTGTTGGGGATATGACTCGGATCTCAACACGCCGAAGAAATACCCAAGGATGCTCACGTCAAAGCCAACGCGCGAGTCGCGCCAGGGCTAAGCGCGAGTGTAGAGACCGGCCCCAAGGACCGCGCATAGACGCCAAACCACGGCGCTTTGGACAAGCGCGGGCCCTCACCGAGAAGTTGTAGAAGCAGCGCCGCGTCACCCGAAGGGTAGTCAACATCATAGTCCTAGGTATAGTCATGGCTAAGGGTCTTGTCACCCATAGGGATATGGTCTTTGTCCCTGACATGTCAGAGGTCATGTCACCGTACCGTAGTGGTCACGTCATCGTACCATCATGTAACTCACCCACCACCATGTAGCCTATAAATATGGCATTTACTCCGGTGGGTGAGGGGATCGGATTTTTCAGACTCTATCTCTAAGATCATCACTTTCTCTCACTAAACACACTCTCTCTTTCAGCTCTATCTTCCCTCTCATTTGTCTCAAAGTCCTTGTTCAACCAAGCCGTTCATTCTTCTCGACCCATTCTAGTGAACCTCACTCCTACACTCAGTTAGGTTCAAACAATTGGCGCCCACCGTGGGGCCTGAGGAAAAAATGACAGAACAAAACTCCAACATACCCGGCGAGGTAACCCCCATCAAGGCAATGACGGATCCTAGGGTGTTCGCGGGAGTCGCGGAAGCCAGCAACCGCGACGCGGTACTCATCGAGGAAGAAGAGCCCGAACTAACGGCCAGGGAGATGAGGCAGCTGGTGACGAAGCAAAACGACGTCATCGCCGATATGCAAAAGCAGATGAGCCAAGTTATTGCGCTCATGATGAGCCGAGTAGCTGCGGCAGCGCCGAGTGCGCCGTCTGATGCGTTACAGCTAACGCAAGGAGGGACATCAGGCAATGACCCGCCACCACGTCAGGCAGCGGTTGAGTTGACCGCGCCTGAAGCCCAGCGGTACGAACCGCCCGGAAGAGCGGACCTCAGCTTTTTGGAGCAACACCTGTCCCCACAGTTCCGCCCCAATCCGCCTAGAAAGGCCTTACATCAACCGTTGTGCGCGAAGATCATGGCGGAACACTTGAGCGGGACGCCACCCACCCTCCCCACGTACAACGGCACGACTGACCCTGAGGACCACGTCAGCACCTTCTGCCTACGAATGCAACTCCAAACCAACTCTAACGCGGCACTGTGCCGGACGTTCCCATCAACATTCTCCGGGATATGCCTCGACTGGTATAACCGCCTCCCCAATGGAATCATCCGCTCTTTAGAAGAGTTCATACTCCTGTTCACAACGAAGTTCGCGTCACAAAAAAGAAGGCCTCTCCACCTCAAGGCGCTGATAGACATCCCCCAGAAGGATGGAGAAAGCTTGCGGGCGTTCTACGCCAGGTGGTCCAGGGTGGCAATGGCTGTAAGAGATCTCACCCCGGAAACCGCCGCCCATCACCTCTTGGACGCCACCACTAGCATGGAGCTCAAGAGAGCGCTAGCAAAGAGACCAATCACACTATCTACGGAGCTGGAAGTCAAGATTGAAAAGGGATATCACTTTGGAAGAGACATTGGGCGCGGGCTCCATCAGACGTTTCGAACCCGCCAAAATGCCCAAAGAAGATCAAGCTCGTAGGCAGCTTCCCGTGCCGCGAGACCAGCTGTTGCAAGCGCACATCGGCGCCAAACGCCCACCACTTCCTCCAGAACAAGCCCATCGGGGGCGGTCGCCAGATAGGCGCCCGCCAAGCTATACTCCCCTCAACGACACGGTTAAGAACGTCTACCACGTTCTGCGAGAGAAGGGGTACAAAATCAACTGGCCCGCCCCCATGAAGACCCTCCCGCACATGCGCGACCCCAAGAAGCGCTGTGAATTCCACAGGGACACGGGGCACTGGACAGAAAACTGCAGAGAATTGCGCTATGAGATCGAGGGCCTCATACAAAGGGGACTCCTGAATGAATTCATTCGCGGAGCGGAAGAACCGGTGGAGCGCCCTGTGGAACCCCCACCACCGCCACAGGCTGACTACGACGACGCCTCGTGCTCGTACGTAGTGTGAAAGGAAATTGAGGTGGTAACTGTAGAAGGGGACCGCCCGAAGAAAAAGACCAAGCGCGACCGCGCCATAGAGTGCGCGGCGGCGGAAGCTCCGCAGAAGTGCAACTTGAGTTTCGACGACGCTGAACTCCCTGGAGGGGTCCCTTCGGAGGACCCACTCATCATCACCGCGCTCGTCGCCGCCTGCAAGGTTCGCCGCCTACTGATTGACGGGGGCAGCGCGGCGGACATCCTTTTCAAAAGCACGCTCGACCAGATGGACATCGACCCGCGGCTAATCAAGCACGCTTACGGGAACCTAGTCGGTTTCTCCGGCACGAGGGTCCCAGTTATCGGTGTGGTCACTCTTCCAGTCGTGCTCGGGGACTAAGAGCCGCGCGTCTCGAAGCAAGTCGAGTTCACGATAGTCGACTGCAAATCCCCCCACAATGGAATTTTTGGCCGCCCGCTCTTGGCAAAATTCATGGCTCTCCCGTCAACATGCTACCAGAAACTCAAATTCCCCACTAAGGAGGGGAGCGGCGAAGCGCGCGGGACAACATGGGAGGCCCCAAAGCTAGGAGAAGTCCGCCAGACCAATATCGTTGACACAAGGGCAGAAGAACCTCGCCCGGAATCAATGGATTCTGACTTCGAAGTCGCCCTTGATCCGAGCGAGCCTACACGCAAGGTACGCGTTTCAACTCACGTCCCTGCTGACGCAATTGAACCGTTGATAAAGCTGCTGAAAGAGTATAAAGAATTATTCGCGTGGTGCACGGAAGACATGCCGGGGGTACCAAGAGAAGTCGCCCAACATTCCCTTGGGGTCCCAGTCAGTGCGAGGCCAAGACAGAGGATGATCGACGCGGTGTTCTCGCAACAAAGGGGGCGCAACATTGAGGCATACGTGGATGACCTCATTGTCAAGACCAAGGCAAGGAAATCACATCTGGACGACCTGCGCGAGACATTCGAAGCGCTCCGCAAACACAGTCTCCGCCTGAACCCGCTGAAATGCGTGTTCGGAGCAGAGGCCGGAAAATTCTTGGGATTCATGATCACCAAGCGCGGCATCGAAGTCGACCCAAAGCAAATCACCGCAGTCCAGGGCTTGCGCGCACCAAGAAACACGTTGGAGATCCAGTCTCTGAACGGGAAAATTGCGGCACTAGGAAGGTTCATCCCAAGGTCAGCGGACAAGTGTGCCCCATTCTTCAAGACACTGAAAAATGGCGCGCGATTTGCATGGACCAAGGAGTGCGAAGCGGCCTTCCTAGAACTCAAAGCCTATCTTGTTTCCCCCCCTGTATTGACTGCCCCAAAAATTAATGAAGAGCTTTTTCTGTATCTTGCCGTGTCCACAAGAGCCGTAAGC